TATTAGAGTGCGAGTCTGGCACCACTATTATATCCAACAGGATGCGTGCAACACGATAGTACGCTCAACTTCTCACTCGCAGATCAAGAAAATCGATTGAGCCAAGCCCTCTGCTCTCTCTTGCAAACGCAAAATCGCCACTTTGCTCGCTTGTCTTGTTTTCGCTACCCTCTCCATTCAAGACAAGGTCCGAAAGGCGCACGTACAAACAACTACGACGTGCGTCAGAGCCTCCACAAGACTTCCACAAGGGCTGCCGCCAACAGCATCAAAGCAGCCTTGAGAACACGAACTTGACTCTCAGCATCTTGTTGACGTCTCCGGGAGGGCTGGTAGGCTCGGTGCCATTGTATAATAACAGCACACGTTCCTTCTGATGCCGGAGATGCGAAAGACGAAGTAGCGTCTTCAACTTTTTGGTCTTGCTCCTGTAGTTAAGGGCCTGTCCACCCCAGGCGGTGGTTACCTCCACCAAGAACTGCCCACGCAACAGCTGGATGATGTCAGTGACAGAGAGACTCTTGCCAAGAGACGAGGTGAAGCCTGTAACAAGTGTTTCAAACAACTGCTCGTTGAGTTTTGCGTTGCGTGGGGAATGGAGAATGATGTCAACCTCTGTCACAGAAGGCAAAACGTATGAAATCGCTTCCTGAATACGTTCTTCCGAAGGTGTCTCACAGCAAAGATCGGTCCACCGTGAATAAAAGGCCTGCCGTGTCAATTTCCCCTCCTTATGCTCTCGAGCAACTTGCCGCAAGTGCCACTGCCTTTGCGTGTCTTGTTTGGCTACGCCCCCGCTGTGTATATCCAAAATGACATTCCTCTGCACCACCTTGAATCCCAGAGCTTCCAGAGCTAAGACAATTGCCTCCTCTGCACCAGTGCCGGTGTCGGTGCTGGACTCGCCATGGCCATTCCAAGAGTTTACGCCTACACCCGTTGAGCGAAGCTTTGAATATCAAGAATGCAATGGATGGCATTTGCACAAAAGCGATGGGAACTCCTCATCTGCGCATCAACAACCTTAATGAGAACCAACCTCTGCAGAAAATGACGTCACTGCTTGTATGCGACGATGAGTGTGGGCACAAACTAAACTATCGTGTTTAAATAGCTGGAGGTCCCAAGCTCGGCCAACTGAGTAATCAGGGCAGACATAGCAAAGCCCAATGGGACACGAAAAGGCCCCCCTACGCCGGAAACCACTTCCATCTTCATTCATCAGCTTTTTGGCATCTTCCGAGGGTTCGGGGCATGGACTGGCTGGTGGTTCAGTGTAATCTGGGCCTTCCTTTGGTTGTTCTCAACGGTGTCTGCAGGTTAGATACTCAGGACTTTTCTTGAGGGGGGGGGGGTCGGTGTATGGGTCAGACTCATCCTATGGCTGCATCACATCGGTCTTACTTGGTGGCTTAGGGGTTGAGGCATAGGTTGTTACAGTTTGGGTCTTCAGGTGGCCTAGCAGGGTGTGCGTGGTTGGAAAATGGAAATGGTCCTACCTTATTCCTGAACCTTATTCCTAGCATAGAAATTTTATTAGAGACTACCATTTCCATGTTCAAGGGTTAGGGTTTTCAGGTTGGGAATATGGGTTTTTCTATGGGGGTATTGGTGTATGATGTTGAGGTTGGGGTTTTTCTATGGGGTGGTGTGTGGTTTCTTCTGGCGGTTCCATCTTGTGGGTTTTAGGTTGGGATTTTTGGTGAGGTGGGGGTTGAGGTATAGGTTGTTATGGTTTTGGGTCTTCGGGTAGGTATTTCTTAGGGTTCTACCTTTGGGTCTTTCGGTGGGTTTAGGGTTGAGGTACAGGTTGTTATGGTTTTGGTCTTCAGGTGGCCTAGGGGGGTGGGCATGGTTAGAAAATGGAAATGGTATATGCTAACTAAATATGGGGACCAGCATCTGTTCTGGAATGCCTGTTTTGTTGCTTGGCGCGCCTGGTGTCCTTTCCTAATGGTGCGCGTGTGAGACGGGCCGTGCCATTCCATATTTTCATCTTGGCCCCACTTCCTTTATCAAGCCTCGAATTCTTAACTGGCATAAATGCTGGCGAGGACGTGCCGCACCCATCTACTTCAAAAGGACGAACAGGACAGTCGTCACAATCAGGCCTGTCAAGATGCTAGTCTCGTGAGCAAATGGCTTCTGGTTGAGTAGTAAGCTTGCCAGTTGCACAGAACATCGTCAGAATGAGTGTTGCCCAGACCTTGTGCTGGCATGTGACTGGATCTGAGCTGATCCCTCGGCGAAGGCTCTTTCAAGTCACAATGCTGGGTGGCGGACTAAGATTGTCGTCACAAACGCGAACCAGAACCTCGCAAGTGTCGTTCGCAATACTCTACCTATCTTTCAGGGGTTGCAGGTACTCTCAGGCTCTAAGGTCCACGCAGCAATGGAGCTTGATCTACGCAGTCCTACGAATGCCAAGGTGCAGATCGGTCACGTGGTCTCGAAAGTTTCATTTGCCCTGATCTGCCCTGCGTCCTCTGCTTCCCAGCACTCGACACTGCCAAACATTAACCATGCAAAGCCGAAGGTGTTCAGAGCCAACCTTGTACATACTTCAACAGCTGCGGGTAAAGAGCTTCAAGCAACATGACAGCCGAAGGACTTGGGCATGGACTCGATGCATATCGAGCCACGAAAATTCCTTCGTGCTACGAAAGCCTGCAGAGTCAGGTTGCAAGCCCACGTAGACTTCCACTGCCCTCAACGCATCCCCGCCAGCATCATCGTGCCAGGCCAGGAAAGTGCCAACCATCCAAAAAGCCAGACCTTGTCCCATCATACACCCATCGCAACCGCCGGGACATCAGGTGTATTCAGGCGTCTCAGAAGCAGACCTTGAGGCGCCCCGAAGCATCACACGTGTACGGCCAACTGGCAAGCAACAAATACAGAGCCTCGGGACTCGACAGGGCCCGCCGTCTGAAACATCGTGACATGGTAAAGCACGTCACTTTGCTCTGTGCACCCAACAGCTGAATCCCAAGCAGTCAACCTCAGCGAGAGGGAACTGCCTTTATCTAGACACGGCTGACAAGCGATCAGAGCTGTGAGAGTCTGACCCTGTCAACAATGCCCCGACATAGCGATGCCACGTGGGAACAATGGCCTCTGCAAGAACAGTGTGGCTGCGTTTTTTCAAGCTTACATGTCGAGCTGTACGCGCCTCTTCGTGCTGCTTCACCTAACAGTTTAACAGATCTGGCAAAGGCGTGGCGCTCGCATGGACCCCCTGTGAAATGACGACTCAGCGCTCGGCTGCAGCTGGGTGCATGGCTGTGATGGCACGATAGAAACTGCAGCAACTTTGACCGTGTGTGGGCAAGATACACAACACTAGGAATGCTAGATGCTCTGCAGAAGGAGACTAAGGATCGACAACATGAGGTTTACCAGAGCCAGAGAAAGGCCAACTGAGCGGCACATTGATTGACACATTGCTTGCTACACTAGCTTGTCCGAGGCAACCGCTGTCATAGACCACTGGCGCAACTGTTCGCCGCTTGGCCATGTAACCACCCAGTCCCGCAGGCGTGCTGCATCTGGGCAATTCTAAGACTATGGATTGCTAAGGAGCTTGTTGGCCCCCTACTGGTGAGACGAATCGCTGCAACTGCTCTCCAATGTGCTTCAGGGCAGATCCCGGCACTGAGATCCTGAGCACAATGCTACCCTGACAAGAGGGTTTAGGGTTTAGGGTTTAGGGTTTAGGGCTTAGGGTTTAGGGTTTAGGGTTTGAGACTTTAAGGGGTATGACAAAGGACCGAAGTTGGTACTCAGCCAGGCACTCTGGTCGGATGACAGATGCGTACTGCAAAGATGAAGCATCGCTCGCAACCTAAGATGGAACGAGCTGCTCAAGGATTCATCCCAGCGAGAGCGAAGGAGCTGGGGAAGGGAAGGGGAGGGTAGGGGACAGAAGGGCAGGAGAGGTGGAAGAGGCGTGAGAAAGCATGATGCAAACAAGACAAACAGAAACGGAGGACAAAGCCGCTCAAGAAGTTAAACCAGGCAGCAGGCAGGGATTGTTCATTTTTTTCGTGTTTGAAGACCCGCTGATACGGGGGGAACCCTGTTCATGACATCGCAACCGCCTGATATAAACTTCTTGCACGCCATCAACTTGCTCATGAAACGTTGAGGAGCCGGAACAGTATCTTGTTCGCGTTCAGAACGCACGGAACTTTAACAAAGCAGCTGTGAACAGATCAATGGGCTGAGCGGCTGCTGCTTGAAGCACCTCTGGGTCGCCTCGGAGCTCCTCCGAAGCATAGGCCAGCGCCGTTCCATCCCTGCGCAAATTTGCGATGGGTGCTGCAGTAAGATCATCTCCCGGGAATCTGGACGTCTACGTATTGCCTTCTCACTGCAGCAAGCACGATGGCCCGATCACTTCGAAACTCGTTACCTGGGCTCAATTGTGGCAAGCAATCGGAATGTACAGATCCTCCGCATGAACTGAGCTTACTGCCTGCGTAAGCGAGAGCTATCCCGTTTGATCGAACGGCCGAAAGCCTTGTTGTACCACGCAAGCAGCACCAACTTGTAACAACTCTCTGTTTCGTGTGCGTTGACACCACGCCAGCCTACTGCAGTGGGCTCAGGCGTTTACACGAAGCTGTGGCTGTGCCGGAGCTTCTCGCGAAAAGAATGCGCGAAAAGCAGAATTCAGGCAGGCGAACAGCACATGGGCACAGGCATTGATCTCACACGGACATGCACACAGGAAGGACCTGAATCTGCCTGACCTCCAGATTAAATAGCTGCATGCGCTTTGAAGAATACCCGTCCTCTGAAGCATGGCGCAGTGCCTGCCGATGCTGCAAGAAATCATCTGCAAAAGACCCTTGCCGTGTCCCATGTGCATGCACTTTTTTGGTACGAAACCACACACCGAAATACGTACTTGTTTACTTGCTTACAATTCCTTGGTTTGTCAAACAGTGGCCATGCGGGCGGAAGACACACCTTGACAGAGCGAATCTACTCGGCAAGAGGACTGGATGAAAGGATGAGATCTCTAGCAATCCACAAGAAGCTCGTGGGTTCCTGGAACCCAGGAGCAGCTTTGCGTTTACCCAGACCTTGGTCTGGGCACCGTTATTCCAGACTTTCGCACATATTTGCTTGCTTGCCCACCAAAAAGAGCAGGCTGTGCAAGATGGAGCAGCGAACTTGTGGAAGGAGAAGGCGGCGATCATGCCGAGGAAGAAAATAGACGAATGAGGGTGGTATGTTAACATTCAAAAGTATGAAAGTTATGCTGAAAAGGCCAACGCGGTTGGCTCGCTAGAGAGGTTGACGCACTGGTGGGCAGGGCTGAAGTCAAGATGTTGCGATCCCGAGCTTGCTTTAGTACTGCTGCTCGTTGTTGATGTGCACGTACATGCACGTACTGCTGGTGGATGTGCTGATTGGCGTTGGGGTGGTATGGGAAGACAGTGTAGTTCAAGATGTCGGCAGCGTTGAATGATGTTGTCGCGGTTGACGTGCTGGATGCCGACGTGCTGGTGGACAACATTGTAGCATGGAGGCGGTGCTTGTGGATGTGCCCGTGCGTGCCGTGGTAATGGAAGATGATGTCGTCGACACAGATGATGTATGAGGATGTGCTACTGGGTGAAACGTTGGGGAGGGTAGGTCGAGGGCAGGAGGGCAGCCGAGGAAGTTGAAGCCAAGAAGACTACAGTAGGGCCGAAGTAGGGAGCTTGTTCTGAACTGCAAAAGTTGCTCATGGTAACCAGTGAAGATTGCGCTGAACTGAATTTTAAACCTAAAGCCACGAGGATGAACAAGTAGGAAAGCGGGCTCCTTCTACAAGAGGCCAGTTCGTTCTGACACACTAAGTCTCCCCGGTCAAAACAGAGCCCCCTTGGTCAGGACTGGAGCCACCTCTACCGATTTCGAAGTGGTCCATGCTTGGGCTGCTTAGGCATTCGACCCTGGCAGTCCAAGGTAGTCTGCACACTTACTGGCAAGACCGAGCAGTGAACCGGAAGGAGAGGGACATGTTGAAGTGCTGAAGATGTACCCAAAGCGAAAACGGAAGACTCGCAGGTAGGTTCACGCAGCGTGGCGCAGGGTCATGAGGGCGTCTTCGTTGGCTGAGGACCCTCCTCACCACCCCGACGCTCACTCTCTACGGCACCCTGCAATTAGTGAATGGACGTGCGCAGTGATGCTTCACACTTATTCCTTGGCCTTCGAACCGCCTGTTCAGCGACTACGTACGCTTTGCACAAACGCATACATGCGTGCACGCCTGCGCGTGCGCCGGCCCACACTCCACATGCCAAAGGGGGTGTAAAAGCAGTCCGTGACAGAAAGTGCGGGGTGTGGCGTCTTGCGCATGTGAGGGCACGTGAAATACCTGCATGGGACAATGTGCTTCACACAGGAGCACAGCGGTTGCAATCACAGACCAAAGTATGCGGACCGGACAGAGTCAGAGAAGTGACGGAACTGGCAAGGAACACCCTGCCAACTTCTTCCATACTCTGAGTATTTCCACTCAGAGATCTCCAGCCTCCGGCTTCCGCTGCAACGCGGTGAGCACGATTTTCTCTTCGTCCCGGAAAGCATCATCCTCGACAGCGCGCGTGTCACAGCTCCGCATGCTCTGCTTTGCAGAACCCGGTGATTGCAACTTGATGCGAACATGGCGCAGCATAGCGAAGAGCAGCACCGTTCTTCTTCACTGCAGACAGCACCTTTGTGCAGAAGCAAAAAACACCTGCCAGCTTACAGCCAATTGTTCTACGGTAACTCCGAACGTCTTGAAGGCAAGCTGAATCCAAAGATGCACGACAGCGTGAGATTATCAAGGCGAGAGGGTTTTCTTCCAGAACTCACACCACAGCGCGAAGATCTTCTTTTGGGTTTGGATTGGGTCATTGCCCGAGTGGCGGCACTCTATCTTTAAGCACGACGTGGCAAGCTAAGGTACTGACAAAATCAGAGTCCTGCCAACGTATTCGTATGACAGTTCCAGCTGATGACCACAATGATGACCACATGCACAGCCCGCGTTGCATGCATGCAACGTCCTTGCGGAACCTCCTGGGAACATAAGCAAGAGCCTCCGCATTGGCCTCCGTAAAAGTGAGAAAAGACTCTCGGCACGGAGCATGAATTCGCATGAAGGTTTTCAGAGCCTCCACAGCTTGGAGCAAGAAGTCCGAATCAGCCAGCAAGTTGTCAGCCTCAGAGAATCTCTCAGGGCCCACGGGTTTAGAATGACTCAAACAGAAGTCTACACAATCTACAGCACAGCGAGTTCACTTCCAGCGCTTCAGCGCCCAGCACAAGATGCCAGTGCTTGACCACGTTCACCCACCGCGGCCAGCATGAAGTTCAAGTCGGCCCGAATTTCCTTCAGCCAAAGCAGCGGCTCAAGGAAGTTAGGTTTTAGGGTTTAGGGTGGTGTAGGGTTAGGGTTTAGGGTTTAGGGAAGGAAGTTCACACTACCAGGACCACAGCACCGGCCTCGTCGACCTGTAGCAGCGCATCAGGGTTTCGACGAGCTGCTGCAAGCAGGAAGGAGCGATCAGACCACAGATCCTGCGCTCCCCATGTGCTTCTCAGATTCAGCAAACTGCCAAGCGCTGACTTAAGAACGCTCCTCGGGAACATAGGGCAACGCCATTGCGTTGTGACCTGAGACTGAAGTGACGCCTTGATCCCGCTTGGCTAAGTAACAGCTTTTTGCTGGAGCAGTCAAAAGTCAGTTCGCTTAGGTTTTCTTAGAGCTGTTAGGGTTCCAGGGGAGCCCGGGGGGCAAGAGCTCCGAAACTGAAGGGGGGAGGGGGGGGGGTTTGGGGGGGCTTTCACGGCCTCCATTGCAGGATAAATGTCGGGATCTGTCGGCAGACAGCCCTAGGTGTCCGTAGCAGGAAAGCCACCCGAACTGACCGAATTCGCACACCCCACCATGCTCTTTCCATGCTCTAAGAACCTGTCTTCAAGACTCAGGATGCCGAGCATGGAACTCAATGCTTCGTGAAGGAACTGGCGGTCTTGGCGCATGAACTCGCCCGCATACCGCAGAGCAGTGCCATCCTGAAGGGGTGGTCTTGAACTTTGGTCGAAAATTCTAAGGTCCGTCACCTCGCATGCTGTCTGAGATGCAGGCATTTCGAATAGCTGCAAGAACCAGCGAATGGTCGTAACCTCATTCGGCAAGTTGCACATGTGTAGCCTTGCTTAAGCTTCCTGCAGCTTAGAGTATCCAGGGAAGAGTCGGAAGATCTCGTCGGTGAAACGCAGCGCGTCGCCATTCCTGCTAAACAGGTACAGACGCTTGGAAGGAGGAAGTTGACATGGAAGCGGACAGCCGAAGGTTGCCTTTGAACAGCATCGTACAGGAACATGCGATCCTCCACGATACATGTAATGCAATATGAAGCTGAATTCAATCGTTGCCGACCACTGATGGTTATTGTTAAAGCAGCAACTCAATCACAGCCCAAGCCTCCTGGAAATGGTGAGGACATCTCAGCAGCGCCTACCAGAGTCAGCGAACACCGCGTGTTGCAGGATGCGCAGTGAACTCAAAGCACCCCAGTGCTGCAGACGGGATCAAGCCAACCCCTTCCAATTGCTGCATTTCTATGGTGAAATATTAACTTGATTGCTGCCACCAGTCACCGGGCTGCTAGGTTAACACTTGTAGAGGAGGGAAAGAGGGAGAGACAGGGAGAGAGGGAGAGGGAGAGGGTGAGAGAGAGGGAGAGAGAGAGAGGGAGAGAGAGAGGGAGAGAGAGGGAGAGAGGGAGAGAGCGGGAGAGAGAGAGAGGGATGGAGAGGGAGAGCGAGGGAGAGGGAGCGAGAGAGAGCGAGAGAGAGCGAGAGAGAGCGAGAGAGATGGAGAGAGAGGGAGAGAGAGGGAGAGAGAGGGAGAGAGAGGGAGAGAGAGGGAGAGAGAGGGAGAGGGAGAGAGGGAGAGAGAGGGAGAGAGAGGGAGAGAGAGGGAGAGAGATAGAGAGGGAGAGAGAGAGAGAGAGAGCGGGAGGGAGAGGGAGAGACACGGAGAGAGAGGGAGGGAGAGGGAGGAAGAGGGAGGGAGAGGGACGGAGAGGGAGGGAGAGGGAGGGAGAGGGAGGGAGAAAGAGGGAGAGGGAGAGGGAGAGAGAGGGAGGGAGAGGGAGAGAGAGGGAGAGGGAGAGAGAGGGAGAGGGAGAGAGAGGAAGAGAGTTGGAGAGACAGGGAGAGAGACAGAGGGAGAGAGAGAGCGGGAGAAAGAGGCGAGGGCACACGAGCATGCACACGCGCACGAACGCGAACACGATTAAGGCTCATCCACTTGGTTGCAGCAGACATCGGTCAGAGTAACATACTCAAAAAATTTGTGACCGGGTCTTAGAGCACCATGAAAAGGGAGAGAAAGGGAGGGGGTCAGGCGAGAGAGCGAGAGAGAGAGACACAGAGAGAGAGTTAGAGACTGAGACAGAGAAGAACCTGGAAGAAAGTATCTCACCCTCAGCACCGGTTCTAGGAGCACACCAGGTGGGTAAAGCAGGTGCTTTTGCCGCTTGAATGGGGCTTCCCAGTAGGCTGTGAGGTTGCCTCCCTCACGAAGCTGGAGAGAATTGGAATGGCTTGTCACGGCCCCTGAAAGGCTCCAGGTATGCAAAGCACTCGGACAGGAGCCAGCATCAGCAACATCCGCAAGTTCAGGAGTGCATCAGAGCATCCTGCTACCCACCTGAACCCAGAAGGTCACAGAAGGACCCGAGCAAAAGACCCCGAATGGGGACGGGGTCTGGCCGGAAAGACTACAATCTCATAGCTTCCTCTCCGGCACCCCGGCACTCCTGATGCAGACCATCGCTTGCAGCTAACCTCCCACATCCTCCCACAGGTTAGCATTCGTGACTGAGCATGACCCCCATGTGATTTGTACACACGTAGCTTCAGCCACGAGCTGTCCAACATGGCATCTCTGTGCGCCTCACTGTTTCGCTCAATGGCAGCTAACGCAAAGTGTCGATCCTGCCATGCATATCAGGCTAACATACATCGGTTTCTTCTCTGAAGCTGCAGTCTCCTGCCAGAGGGATGCATCCACTGCTGCCCGAACATTCCGGGCTATAGCAGCCAGTGCTACCTGGCCATCTCAGAAAGCTGTACCTAGATTCTCATGCACCCCGGCAAGTCTTGTTCGTTCTCCATCTAACGTTGCGTGTAGTGACATGACCACAAGATGCCTCGCGGTTGACTTGCAAGTCGGCTGCTGCGTAGGCCAGTGCAATGCCGTCATGCTGCACAGCGGCAAGAACAATCTGCCGAGCACGAGCGGTTGGCTGCATCCACGTTCAACATCGTTCCTTGTCTGTGTTGTGCAAAGTCTGGCCTCGCGGTCTTTGCGAAACTGCTGCGGCACGTAAGCTAGCGCGGCTCCTGCCCTTGGCATGCCAGATCGATAAGACAGCGCGGTGTCTGGTGCGAATGAGGTCCCGACCTTCCCACAGCCTTCAAAATGAAATCCCGATTCCGGCGAAGGTCCTATGCCATATGCAGGTTACCGGAATCAAAGGATGAGGCAGGTCACTACGTCGTGTATTATCATGTATTATCGTAAAGAAGTTGCTGGCCTCGTGTACATATCGCATGGCTTCGGGACGGCAGTGCACTGCGGCAAGTGCCGCCTCTCGCTGGCACCAACGAAAAAAGCTGCTATCACACGAACCCTGACATCTGCGTGAACCTCCTCATCTTGTCGAACATCCTCTGCCATGTCGCTTGCTTTGAGCACCTTGCTTGTAGGAGCCAGCCCGCTTCGGGATGCTTCAGACAAATAAGTGGCGGGTGCGGAGGTGCGTTTGTCTTTGTACAATTATTAGGGTGCCGCAGTCGCGACTTCGGGAAATCTTGGATGCACGGCTTTGGGGTTTTGGGCGGACTTTCGGGTTACCCTTCTTTCACTCCAACAAGATGGAGATGTTAAAGTGGGGGTTGAGGCTTCAGCCGGGTGGGTCACTCCCTGCTTTTGCAGTGAGCATTCTCGCGTCAGGGGAGCCACTTAAGTTGTATAAAACCGCATCGTGTGTCCTTACCTTTCCTTTATAAGGCTTCTCCCTATTTCTTGTTTCTTGATTGGCTCCAATCCACAACTTAACAACAAACAGTTTCCCAAAGATTGGCAGCTTAGAATTACGCATCACTGTCTGGTACAGCTGTAAACAACATGCTAGCATAAGAACTACCATTCAGGTACTCTATGTGATGGAGTAAATAATCACAGTGTTTCTCTGCAACTATCTCGATGTGAGAACAAGGGGAGGCTGAAATGATGCTGAACATCCTTGCATTGAAAGCTTTGAACCATGAAGGGTGGCAGTCCTCAAAATTTCTTGGGCGGCAGAAAACGAACTTTGGAAACACCACGAAGAAGAAAAGCTGAATCGAAATGGAAACAGCTCAAAGACGAAGAACCTCTGTAAATGTTGGAGTGAAAAAGCCTTTGAGGCCTCGGGCCGTACGAGTTTTCGGGCCTGGGGAGCATGAAGCAAGGGCCCGAAAACAGTCTGTCACCTGCTGGGGCCAAGCTGGCGGCGCAGGTTGTCCTTTGGTTGATCATCTTCGCTTGGAATGGGTACCCCTGGATAGGGACGAAGATTGGTTACACTTTAAGCAAGAACAGGAACCCCAAAAGGACGGACACGAAGGCACGGTCTTGTGCTGTGTTCGTTCTGTAATATCATGAACTGGCAGCATGAAGACGGAAAGCTGGGGAAATGTAAACAAACATTTGGCTTTCTGCAAAGCAGATTGTTGACCACAAATTTAGGCAACACATAAGCAAGGAAATGACACGTAGACAAGAAGGAACTAAGCGAGCACTTGAATGAATGTCTCTAGTCGTGCTATGTTCGCGACTTGGTTTTCAAGTTGGTGAGCAAGAGATTCAGAAGTACAAAAGAGTTCATCCCTTTGCCTTTGTTCTCCCACTTTGCAAAACAAAAAAGAAACATCTGGTGTTTCTGTGTCTGAGCTGTTCCTGTCATCCGGGGTATCAGTGACCACAAGCTGAAGACAACGCCCGAGACAATCAGGTCTTCCGTGAGCACGATGGATCTCGTTTGCGACCAACGAAGATCATCATATTCTGCATCGTGGTCATCTCAGACTCTCCGATGCTGAATCCGTCTGGCGTGCTCCTGGACACTCGCATGTGATAGTTTGCTTCTTGTCACTCCTTCTCCGCCTCCTGTTTCGGCGGCCTGACAGTGTCCCCAACAAAAAACCCAGTAAATCATTTTCGGGTTTAACTTGGGGGAATACATATCTAACTAGACAGCGCAAAGCTGTCGGTTAAATTGGTTTGATAGACGCCATCATGTTCTTGAACGGCATGCCGTGTTTTTGGGGAATTGAACGACTAGTCTACTAGGGCCCTAAAAAAAGAAGCTGGCCCCTTATTGCAGTGAACCCAATAACTGTCCTTCATTCTCGTCCACCGTTCAAGTTTAAACTTGAGGGAATGAGTATATGGCTAAGAAGAGTGCCTGTAAGTTCAACTGGCTAAAACAAAGACGCTGATTTTAACGATTGTTTGCCACAGCGGTTGTCCCACTAGCTGTCCTTCATACTCTTCCGATGCTCCCGGACGCTTAAACTTGAGGGGATGCATATCTGCCAAGTAAGAGAGCAACCGTATTCAACTGGCTCAGCGGACGGGATCCTGATGTTCAGTGCAAGCCATTAGGGGTATTTCAGTTCAACGAACAGTATATAACCAACCCCCATACAAAAAAAAACAAAACACACATGATTCTAACAGTTATTTTGCACACCGGTGGTTGTCGTTCTTCATTCTCATCCAGTACTCGTGGCTATTCGATCAACGTAACATAAATACGACCACTGGCTTCCAACTATGTTAATAAATTTAGTTGCATTACTTTCATTTTCAAAACGGAGTGGGGAACTGACTTTGCTTAAGAGCTTTCTATAAGTCACACATGTCGATCCATTGCACACCGCGTCCTAATTGATTTATCACCAACATACATCCTTGCACATTACAGTATTGGTCCAAACCACGAGCAAGTTCTACATGTAAGTTGCAGTCCCGGCAGAGGCCCTCGAAACTCAATCGTCTTCGCGTCGCGAGTTGCGTGCCAAAAGCAGTCGCAGAGTGCGTCGCTCCACAAATCTGTATTACATGAGCACACCTTCAACAGCATTTGGTTCAAACACGTGTCCAAACTCACAAAAGACGCATGAGGTGGGTAGCATATATATATATATGTATGTGTACAGATAACATTCTAAACTACACACTTTTTGGCACGATGGGTTAAGGCTCGGGCGATCCATGGGCATCTGCTGGAAGCTCAACGGATCGTTTTGGGCCAGAGGCGTCGGGGTTTGGGCGACGGGTGCTCTTCAATCTCCCTGGCATGTCCGGTTCAGTATGTTCAGTCACGTGCCAGCGACCAAGCAACTTGCAGCCGGGCTTTTCTGCAACTATCAACTATCCGAAAATCATGATGAAGTCGAAGTGCAACTTGACTTCAAGATGCTACACTGTGCCACTGTGCTCAGAACAGGTGGACCCTCACGAAGGAGGGCTCAGTGCAATGGATTGCAATGGCCAAAATGGCCGGTGTCATCGTTGTCTGCGGGTCTCGAACGCAGAACTACGAGAAGCACCAACTTGCAGCAACTGTGCAGGTACTGAGCACTGCGCAGGCAAACCTACCCAACACGAGACGAACCCCACGGTGTTCGGAGACCCGCGTTAAAGATGCCACCAGCGCATTCCAGCGGGATGTGCAGGCGATTTAGAAAACATGTGGCTGTGATTCAAAGCTGCGATGGGAGTCCCCGCCCCTCCATCACATACGCATGTCGCGCCCCCTTGTTTCATATGTAGGACCGGTCTTGGAGACCTCCTTGCTGTCGAGGGGCTTGTCGCAGAAGGGGGGGGGGGGTAGTCGCAAAGAGAACTTTTGTTACACACTGTTACAGTAGGCCCCTAAGTCGCAAAAAAAGGGCGATGGGGCCTGTTACAACCCTGGGCTTTTGAGTCACAGCAATTTGACCTCTTCGAAGAGGTCGCTTTCACCTGCGGCAGCAGACAGCGCTTGCTGGGCAGATGTCTAGTCTAGACTCTGCACACACGTTGTGTGAAAGTGCAGGGCGTCATCATGTCATGTGCAGTCATGACCCCACTTATGGTCCAAAGTGCAACCTGCGTCAGTATCCGAGAAAACACCAAGTACTTGCAGAGGTAGGTTTTGTAAGTACGAGTACCCCGGACTAATTTGACCTTCTGATTCACGATCTCACTGGCTGCTGTCCAAGAAGCTGCCATTTGAAGCACCGCTCTCCGGAGGCTTTGGATGCTTTGGATCCTGGACATGGACTACAGGATTTTATGTCACTTTTTGAGAGAACGTGATGTCACATGATTCACCCTAGGAACCCTTCTTTCAATCACTCCGAAACCCTCTTTTACCCACCTTCAGAGCCTTTCGCAGCCGGAACCGGAGCCACAGTCTGAGGTGGTGTCTGCGAAGCCTTTGGAGGCAAGCCGCGGCTATGTTGCCCAAAGAAGGGCCATGCCCATACTCCCTACATGCGAAGGCTGCCTAAACCCTAAACCCTGAACTTTGAACCCTAAACCCTAAACCCTAAACCCCAAACCCTAAACCCTAAACCCCAAACCCCAAACCCTAAACCCAAGGCTGCAACTGGGGGTTCCGCATTAAGGTTGGCTTCTTTGCCATCCTTGCTTCCTCGTCCTTGCTGTCAGAGTGCTAGTGGCAGGTCCCATCCGCAGCATTCTTGCGCCTGCCTTCGTGTCGGCTGGCCTTGCCGCGGCCCTTCCACGAGGAGGAGCCTTCACGCAGTGAAGTGAGAGGCAAGGGTATCTAATCAGGCGTGCGCACGCCTGGAACCTGTGCTGGCGCACCTCCTGCTTGGCCATAGTATTCCTGGTTGCCGTCATGGCCCCAGCCCCACCATCCATCCGTTCCTGCCAGGTTTGCTCTGGCTCGTACTGCGCGGCAGAAAATTGCACGAAACACTAATCTCACCTCGTCTCTTTTGAGATGTGAAGGACATGTGCAGCAAATGTAAGGCCCCTGTGCGGGCGTGTCCTGGGTGGCCCATGTGGCCCCAATTCCATTCGCTCCAGTCCCCTTCATACACGCGCAGGTGTCCCGACATGTCCGCACACGTCGCTATATGAGGCGATCTTCCCCAGCAAAACAACCGCCAAGCACCATGTTGGCCTCCACTCGCATACCATCCTCAGCCAAGAGCTCAACTCGTGCCATGATTGGATCCGGTCTTGCCATGCCTCGCCCCTGAGGCACTATGGGCCGTGCCCTCGTGGCCCCACCAAGCACTACCTGGCAATTGAGCCAAGCGATCGAATCTACACGCCGACACAGCGGACAAAGCCCAACCTGAACGATTCTTCTTGCCACTCTTGCCCTTGCCCTTTGCAGGTTTGGACTCCTGACATGGACACACTGAACTCTCATGTCCTGGTTGTGGGCTTTCCTTCGTCCTGCTGCCCATCTCGCATGTCACGAGCATTGTCACGGGCACTGTCACGGACGTTGTCACGGGCGTTGTCACGGGCGTTGTCACGGGCGTCACAATTCGCGAGCATTTTGGCCTGCTGTTCACGCGCTGACTCACGATGCATCCCAAGATAGCATGTTGCCTCCACTTCTGCCACGGCAGGAGCAGTTGGCACCTGAAGACACACACACACACACATCAAAGCTCTCAACTGAACGTGTCCCAGAACATCTCTGAACACATCATTTTGCACATCTGCGCAGCTTCCCGCAGAGGAACCTCATCTGGAGGTGGGGGCGGCGACCTGCCGCTGTTTGTGAGGCATTTCCGGTGCAGTCACATGGTGCTGCTTGGCTGGCATCGCGCAATGCTACCCTGGTGCACGATTCCACTCCCACCTGGTCTCCTCTGGCGGAGGAGTACTTGGTGGCGGAGGCGTGGGTTGCTCGTGCCTCGGATGGATTCACTTGTGTGCCGCGGCAGGGAGGCACTAAAGGCCTGGGCTAGGCGTGAATGCGTGTCTTGTCGCAAACAGGCTAAACAGGTGCTATACTAGTTAAGTATTGCATTTGCATATTAGCCGACTCTGCTAAAGGATCACTTGGTCCACTAGATATGTATTTTATAGTGAATGTTGCAAGTTTCTGTCTGCTTCATTAAGCATCATGCGCCCCCGACTTTACATGACCCCACTTCTTTGAACTTCCACATGCACAAACAACTGCTCTGGTATCCAAGCCACAGCTGCTGCTGCTCCACCATAGGCGACATGCACCCCACCTCAGATTCCCATCGCTACCTTCTTAGGCCCCATGATCCCCTGGCTATCACGCCCCAGACAATGGTACTTGAGCACAGCACGGTGGCGATTGTCGCAAGTAATGGTGCCGCCTGCAGACTCTTCGACTCTTGGAGACGCGCGACATACAACGGCCAGCAGGCCACACGTAGCAGCGGCAACTCAAGTGCTACTTGCACCTGCGAAGATGGAGAATGCGCCGCATAGCTGCAAGGCAATGCCTGAGCCAGCATTTGGCTTCACAGACATAAGCGGCACAAGCGCCATAAACACCATATTTCAACCACATCCAAACATGGCGCTGGGCAAGGTGCCGAGCACGGAGCTGGGCACTGTGCCGGGCTCGGAGCTGGGCACGGAGCTGGGCACTGCGCTGGGCAGGGTGCTGGGTATGGTGCTGGGTATGGTGCTGGGCACTGTGCTGGGCACGGTGCTGGGCACGATGCTGGGCACGATGCTGGGTATGGGGCTGGGCACGGTGCTGGGCACGGTGCTGGGCAAGGAGCTGTAGAGGTGCAGGCCACATCCTTGACCAGAAAGCGCTGCCCTGATTGCCACCTCGAACTCATCTGTTCACATCGGTACACTCCCTTGATCCCTGTTCTGAATACAGGTGCCGGGCATGATGCGAGGGTGTGGCTCGGGAGTCCGCACGTCCGGAGAATGCATCAGCCGGTCACCTGCAGCCCAAGTGACAAGAGGCCATCGTGTGGCGGTTGGTGGCAGCAACTTGTGCCGGGGCTAGTGCGCAAAATCCCTGCCATCACAGTCGCCTGTGGAACGAAGCCATGGACCCTTGGCAAAAGCAACGGGATGGAGGGGTGTAGAGTGAGTGTGAGAAAGTCTGAGAACAGCATTTCTGTGGCACAGGCTTTTGGCAGATGTCCGCTGCCAGCAGCTCGGCCTGAAAGCAGATAGCAGTAGCACCCTCCCACCAGACCGGCAAAAAACTATGATGCTGCACGTCCTGAGCACTGCGCCACGCGCGGTGCAAACTTCATCACCTGCATCAACATGATGCAGTCGTCCAATGCCTCAGTGTAAGCAAGGGGATCTCAGCTGTCTCTCCGCAACTCGCATCATGCAGATATATGCAGATCATGCAGATCCCATGGCTCCTTCTTCGGCTTTAGCAACTTGAGTATGCTGTCTTCAGCACTCGACTGTTTTCAACTCGGGATATCATAAAAGAGTGCAGCAGCTCTGGAACTAGAGCTTCGCGGAGTTGTCTCTGGCAACGGCTACGCCAGTTGCATTCTGAAGAACTAGGCTACTAGTCACGCCTAGGGGAGTTTAGGAGTTCGCCTGTGGAGTCCACGTCTTCTTCTTTCTGTTTCGGTTGGCTTCGCGGAGACACCCTGGAGGTTTGGTTCTTCCCTGTCAGCTAGGCGAGGCAGTGGAGTCTTAGAACACGTGTTGGATATGCCTCGTATGAACCAACCATGCCAGGAAAGCGCCGGGAGGATCCGAGCACATGTTTCATGTCTCAGTCTCACGGTAGAAGCAAAAGTTGAATGAAGCCAACCCCTGCAAACGGCTTTGGAACAGCCTCGCCAGACTAGCATCCTGTGCAGCTGTCTGAGCACCGCGCTTGGTGCTCCTGCAATGGGATTCGGTTCAACTCCGACACGTAGCTTGAGTACCTTCAGCACAGGTCTACAGTCGACGCTTGGCCGTCGCATAACAACGCCAAGATCCGCCGCCGAGTCTGCGGCATCACCTTCAGTACCAATCGGTCTGCGCCGTCGTAGTGCTGCTTGATTTCAGGACGGACTGCCAAAGCGAGGCGTGGCGTTGACTTTTCAACTTGTAGCTGATCCCCAACCCGAGCCTGCATAGGAGTTCTTGACACTCGCCACAGGATCGGCATGAACCAGAATTGGACAGCCTTAGGTGCGGAGGAAACATGAGAGGAAACGTGGGTCCGACCCAGGTCGTGCCATAAATTGCCACACACGATGCGGCTAAGGCTGTTTAAGTGAGCCGCCAGAACTGCTCGCAGTCCCCCCCCCCCCCCCCGAGCGGTCCCAGACTCTCAGGGCACAGGGCACGCTGCCAAAGCAACAAGGCGGCACTTTGGCACGGACGACCCATGCTCGCCGTGCTAGTTGCTCTCTTCTTACAACTACGCCATCGCACGCTGTCACAAGCCGAAGCTGCCAGATGTGCGCACTCTTGTTGCGCCGTACAACTTCTGTAAACCCGCCCTCAGGAAGCTAACCTCCAACAATCTCCAGGTGTTTTGCATATCCATGCCCTTAGCACATCTTGTGCGCGTAGGCAGTGGGCAAGGACTGACGACGATGGGCATCGATGGGTGGAGGTAGCCCCGAGTGTACCACCGCATACATGTACAACCACAAGCAATCTGCGCCAACATGTTGAAGCATAACTGAAGAAGTAATTGCCGCCGAGCAACTGCTCCGGTCTATGCTGTACCGGTCGAGCTCCTTTTCTAGGACATACTGGTCGAAGACCGCACCGTTGTGCGCCTGTCAGGAATGCGGACATTTCCGCACAAGGCTTGCGTGGGATGCTACGCCGAGAGCACGGCAATGAGTGCCACGTGGCTCATGCCACTAGCAGCCCTGTTAAGGAAAGGGACCACCTGGCGAGGAATGGGGTGATGCAATGCCGCTGCCGTTTCGAGACACTCCGCCTCAGCATACCAAGCTTCCCAAAAGAAGGGGAGGTTTGGGTCGCAGATGATGTCCTTGTGACCTCGGTGCAGCAGGCGGGTGGGACTACTAGGCACCTCAGAGAAGTCCAAGTTTTCCACCATTGTCTTCTGCAAACTGTCGAGCTGCCGCGGACCTGCCATAACTAACTTGCATATGCGCGACTGATAACAAAGGGCAGGTTGACAGCTACGCCCAGGCTGGGCCACCTGGAAGGGCACTCAGCTAATTGCAATGTCCAGCTTTATGCCCCCCCCCCAGTCTGCAGCGAGCTCAGGTCTGACAAACTCGCTGGAGCGGCGTGATGTCTTCCCAGCAGAATTCTGGGCGGCACCGCACACCTCGCAGGTTCCTATACAAGTATGACTCCTGCCGCAAACCCTGAACCCTAAACCCTAAACCCGAAACCCTAAACCCTTTGTGTGGACCCCTTCAGGCTGCGGCAAATGGATTCTCCGGTAAAGACCTGAGCGGTGCTTCGTCTCCACCGTCGTCTACATGGCACATCTGGGTTCCCGACGTTCACGGCTGCGAACTCAATGATTTGGCAGCGGGACTTCCATGCCCACTGGTCTTTCGTCTCAAACATGCCTGTTCAGGCAACAAAGCAAGCACAACACGCCAGGGTGACGCGGCCGGGCTTCAGACGTTTTGCAGCATACACGCCCTGGGGGTGGTCGTGGGCACACTCCAAATCAAAGACAACTACCTGCGCCGGCAATTCTCGCAGCGAAGCTCTGCCATCAAGAACCTGTCTGCAGAGCACAACTGAGGGCCCGGGCGCCAGTGCGAAAAAAGCTGGCATTTAGGTCTTGCCCCGATGAAACCTTAACTTGTGTTTGCTGTCTCAAAGCTCTTCAGAGACAATGCCGTAGAGACGCATTCGAAACTTCGAGAGGCCAAGGCCTGCGGGGCGTTCTGCGGCCGGGCCCAGCACAGGTGCGAGTGCCTCAGAGCATCTGAACCCTAAACCCTAAACCCTAAACCCTCATCAGCTGGCCCAGGGCATTGCAATGCGCTGCCGAGCTGCATGGGCGGCAGCTGCTGGGTCTGTGTCTGTACCTGAAATACTAGGAAAGGTTAAGACATTATATACAAGGAAGATATTATACTCTTTACTCTATATTATATACTATGTACTATAAATTTTTGGATATTATGAATTATATCTGTAGAAGGAGGCACCGATCACGCTGCGATCACAGTGACTTAGTGTGCTCTGCTTCGCTCTGCGCCTCATGCCCAGGCTGCCCAGGCCACATCTGGTCGTATTGGCCGTATTGGTGAAACCTTAGACACACAGGAAGATGGGCAGAAATACCTCTGCAATTCAGATGTTCAAGCAAAATTCCAAGTACGTGGCGTAAACTGCGCAGTTTCCATCGGGACGGCACGTCAAAAGGATCGGTGCTGCCAGAGTTAGCGCTAGCAGAGCACAGGCTGCAAGACGTGGAAGCCTACCTCATTCCTAGGATCGGCTGTGTTGGGAAGGATGCGTCTTCAGAATCTTGAGTCGGCTATGTATGTAGGTATGTATGTACGTACGTATGTATGTGTGCGTGCTTGTGTCTCTCTGGCTTTTTCGAGTTGTTATCAAGGTTCGAGATTCCAGTTCTAAAGCGATTTCTTCTGTCCACTTGAAGCTTCGTTGAAGCTTCGGGCAAACAAACGAGCAATGGCGTGCAGCGCTCACATGATAACCTCTCCAGTGCCTCGAAAACTCTATGCACGGGCAAGCTAACAAAAATATGCTGCCCGCTTGCAGGATACAAAGCGAGAAGATTCTTTTGCCGTCGCTCCACCTCAACACTTTGGCTGGCTTCCCACCAGAGTCTTCACGAGCTTGCTGCTGACACAGTTGAGCTTCGATAAGCCGCCCTCCGCTGCTTTCAACAGTCTTCATGAATGTCTTCGACAAACATGCTGAAGCAAGTGAAGTACGTGAAGTACCTACGCAACTCAGCTTTTGGGTCCATTATACATTCGACCCCCAAGGCTAAGGCCAAGCAAGGTGTAAAGTGCAGTCCTGTAGAGGTCTGCACAGTCCTGGCCTCGCGCTTTACGGGGCCGGTATCTCAGGCCAATCCCTTGAAGGGGCCAGAAACCGACAGTCCCGCTTCCTTTCACTGGCCGTCATCTCATCCTCCAGCTCATCTTCTTCGTCTTTGACTTCCCTGTTGACGGCCTTCTTGAAGCAGAGTTTCTTTGATGCGGCTTCATGCCAGCATCTCGTCCCCCGATTTCGTGGGGCCAGAATCCAGAAAAATCCAGATGCCGCAGGCTTCACTTTTATGTAGGGCTCAGGGTCTTTAGCCCTGTCAGCTCCACACGGTTCCACACGGCTCATGCCTCAGCCTCAGCTTCAGGCAATGGCAAGTGGCCAGGCTTCGTCTCGTTGAGGGCACGCACGATCGATTCCTTGTAGCTTAGAGCCTTCGCTCTATGACCACTGCAAGAGGCGCAGTCATTGTCAACCAGCCCAATCTTCATGTCCGTCTGCGCGAACCTGGCCGTAACTTCGAAGGGCTTGGCGATCCCTTGCTTAACGATGTAGATCGCTCTGACCGTTGCCCTGATGTACTTCTCCATCGTCCCCCAAACCATCTCCATCGCCTCTATGTCTCCTTGGACGACCATGGTGCTCGCCTGGGACTGCCACCCAGCGAAAAGGACTTCCTCGACCACATCTTTCTGGTGGAACCTGTACTCGAAGGGCATGTTCATGAAGGTCCAAAGCGGATAGACAGCGCAAGAGGCAACGAAAATTCCCACATTGATGTACTCCTGCACGGTAACAAGGGGAAGCTCAATCGGAGAGAAGACACGGACAAAGTCACACAAGTCCACGCCAGGCTTCATATCATGTGTGCACTTGCCCCTCCCAGTGGCCATTGCCCACCCAAAGATATTCATGAGGACCGCAAGGCAATAGCAACCGATAGCCACCATCAGCACAATGAAGAGGACCTCCGTGTAGAGGTCACACGAAATGGGCTTGCGAACCCTCTCCGGCTCACCCTCACCTCGCCTTGCTTTCAGGATGTTTCCCAGTCGTCCGTCCAATAAGCTTGTGGCCAGAACCGCGGCCTCTCTCATCGAATTATGAAACCACATATGAGACCTAGCCCTGAACATAGACCTCACCATCAGACTCCCCAGCACGCTTGCAGGCCCCGAAGAAGTTGTTGTGTTGTTCAGAAAGTGTGCGTGAACATACTCCCAGCGCACGCCAACGCACGCCACCCCACCCCCACACAACGCGCCACCCGCACGCCGCACACGGCACGCCACCGTACTTCCCTCAGAATATGGCGTGTATATACATATATGGGATTTTTCAATGTCTGCCATCGTGGTGTCTATGAAAATGCTCTTTGCCAATGCAGTCTTTTGGTGTCGGGCCTCGGGCTCGCCAGCGACCACAGCCACGCCGTCGAAGCCCTGGATGCTCACGGGCAGGCGCTTCGCGAACTCCTCTCCGGGCCGTGCTAACTGCAGGAAGCGACAAACGAAACAAGTGAAAAAGCATCGATCGATTTTCCTTAACTTGTGACCGGAACTAGATATGGGTGGTTGTCAAAATTCGCCTCGGCTTCCTGCCGAGAAGCGTCTGGAACAAGCAGACCTGGATCCGGTCTCCTTCCCCCTCACCCAATCCTTCCGCCCCCATGCAGAATTTTGTGACGGATCCCCCCCCCCCCCTCTGTGGGACCCCCCCCCGATCGCTTGGAGCAGCAGCAAACCGATGCCGCGGAGGGTCCCGCCTGTCGGCGGCTCCGACAAAGGGATCTTTGTCAGCTTCCTGCCGAGAAGCGTATTTTTTGCCTGCTCCTTCCCCCAACCAACCCTTCCCACGCCCGGGGACGCCCCTGTTCACATACTGCATGCGCTGAGCCGGCCCGGCTGCCGAGGCGGCACGCGCAAGCGTTTACAATTATGATCCCTTTTGCGGTACCCTAAATTTCAGGTGCCGTATTCTAATAGGGATCCAAAAAGGGACCCTCCTTTTGACAACCATCCATATGTTGACCGAAGTCCTGGAGGAAGGCACGCCTGGGGGGCCCATCGCCTGCAAGCACGGAGATCGCGGCATCGCCGTGGATGCGCAGGGTCTTCTCCTTCTTGCCGGACCCGAAGAGTCTTTCGAGGCCAAGGCTTTCCCAAAAGTGCGAGCCATCAGGGTCGCACCCGCCCTTGCCGGTGCGAACCCTGGCCTTGGTGGTGACCTCGAGGCCGAAGCTCGAGGTCTTAGCAGCAACGACATCGGCAAAGAAGCTGCATTCGAGGAGCTTGCCATGCCAGGACTCGACCACGAAGAGGCTCTCGTGGAAGGTTACCTTGTAAGCCACCTTTCCAAGCTCGGTGTACAAGATGCTTACAATTGCGACCAAGAAGAAAAGTCCCGTCCCTGCGCATTCCATCCAGTAGCCTGAGCAAACCTCATCGAAGTCTTCTTGGGGCATAGCAGCAGGCTTGCTCTCAAAGCACCGCAACTCAATGGACAGCACCAAAGCGTTGATCAGTTTCGCGTTGCAAGCAGTGTCCCCGTCCGTCTTCCAGTGCTCCTGGCCGCACTGTTTCATCATCATGTTTATGAGAGCCCATACAAAAGCGATACCCGTGCTGATGATGTAGGCAAAGAAGAGCCCGGCTCCAATGGTGGTCAGGAGGGTGATGTAGAAATCAGAACCCTTCGGGACTTTGAAGGTGGTCGGCACACCCGCGCTCTGGCCTGGATTTGAGGGATCCTGGGATGAAGCGGGTTGGTACAGGACTGCGCCCATCACATCGAGGATGTTCTTCGTCTCTGGCGTCTCCTGCAGGGCCAGGATCACCGCGTCCTGACTGGTGATCGGCTCACTCGGCTCGCCCTCCAAGGAGTCCGGCTTCTGCTCTCTCTCAGCCTCGTGAAAAGCCTGCTCCACCTGCTCCGCCTGCGCATTGCTCGCCATGGCCGAAATGCGAGGAGTCGACTTGCGGTATGGAGACACAGCTTCTCAACCCATCTGAGCTCACACTGGTGGCCAGAAGTGCTGAAGAAAAAGTTGTCACCGCTAAACTGCAGAAGCCATGCATGATGTGCCGATTCAGAAGCTTGTCCGTGCTTGTAAGAGCCAGCAGCAAGATCTTGGATCCAACCCTCAAACGACCAGCCTTGAGGCAGACTCGGCAGACGATGCAAGCGACTTTTCCAAGCAGGGGGTCATTAGTCTCAGAGGACAGAGTTGGGTGACTCAGGAAGAATCCCTTTCAGCCGCTCCAGCTCTTCCCGCCTGGGCGTGTATTGGCGTCACAACCACATGGATCCCCCACAAATCAAAAAGCAAGTGCAAAAGTGCTCAGGCATTCGGCTCATCGACTACAGTATGATGCTGGCCGAGTTCTACGACTGTGTAAAGCAGTTCATCTAAGAACGTCTTGGATTGGACCTTGTTAGGTCCTTGTTCATCTTGAATGCACTACTCTTGACAGAAGAACCTTGTGTGGATTGCCCCTCTTGGATCTTGCTGCGTTTTCCTGCGCTGCACATTTAAGGTCATCAAGGTTTAGGGCAGGGATTGCAAAGTTTTCTGGAACCCTGATGCCCTGAAGCCCCGGAACTGCGTTGCATGTCAAAATCTAGAACCCTGCCACACTCAACTTGCTGCAGTTTTGTCTGAACGCCATACAAGGCATGCGCATGAGGCGAGTTCCAGGAACCCCAAGACAACTCAGCTGCGCGCAGCGCTGCCTCGCGCTGCTCTCCTGAACCGCCACAGGGTTCGGGGGTTCGGGGGTTCGGGGGTTCGGGGGTTTAGGGCTTAGGGTTTAGGGTTTAGGGTTTAGGGTTTACGGTTTAGGGTTTGAAGAGGTGTCGAAGCTGTAAGCAGAAATATCAGTTGCAAGATAAACAAGTCTACGTACTGTCTACGTACTTTCGAGCATCACCCCGTCGTCCACCTCAACTCAACCACTTCAAGCCTGACTCTGAACTTGTAGGGTGTGAACATGGTGTGTGTTCGCGTACTCGGCAGGTGTAGTGACAATAAGCAGGGCTCTTGTATTGACTTTTGAAGGGGCTGACGGCAATCACAGTCCTGTTCTTGTAGCAGCATACATTCTGGTTTCAAAATATCTAGGATTAATGGTGTCTGTTTCCATGTTCCAGTTCAATCTCGAGAGGCCCTGTAGCGTTCGCAAATCGTGACTGCAGCCATGCCTTGCAGTATTTCAGGGAGCTCCAGCTGTTCCACGTTATGCTGCGATTTGAGGATTGGGACGCAGGGGTTTGGCGGATTGGGATGATTCGACTGATGGGTTTAGTGGATTGGGATGATTCGACTGATGGATCTCCGTCGCGAGTGCCAGCTGTGAAACTCAGACTGACACCTGCCAGTGTAGGTTGCCGGAAGCACTGCAGGCTGAGGCTTTCTACTCGGGACTTCCTTCGTGATGGGAGCTGTAACATCCCATGCCTGGAGTGTAAGGGCTATATTAACGGGATGATGTTCGGAAACTCCCTGTGACAAGGTAGCAAGCTCTCAACCGGTACAGTACTTGTCTACGCTCTACACAGTCAAAGGTCTCAAGTCCGCTGGCACATCACATTGCCCATCGTCGTTGCCTCCGAAACAGACCAGGGTACCATCGGTTCGAACCGCACAGGTATGATATAAGGCTGCTGAGACTGCTAAGACTGGTCCCAAATCCGCTGGCACATCACATCGCCCAAAAGCGTTGCCTCCAAAGCAAACCAGCTGACCATCTGTTCTCACTGCACAGGTATGATATACGCCTGCAGAGACTGCCAAGACTGGTCCCAGATCAGCTGGCACATCACATTGTCCGTAGTCGTTGCTCCCAAAGCAAACCAGTTGACCATTTGCCTTCATTGCACAAGTATGAAATGTGCCTGCTGAGACTGCCAAAACTCGTCCCAAGTCCATCGACACATCAGATTGAAAATGCGTGTTGTCTCCAAAGCACACCAGCCGACCATCTGTTCTCAGTGCACATGTATGAGTCCTGTCCGCAGAGACAGCCCAAACCGGTCCCAAATCATCCGGCACATCGCATTGCCCTTTTTGGTTTCCTCCAAAGCAAACCAGCCGACCATCGACTGCTCTCACTGCACAAGTGTGGTATAAACTCGCAGAGACCGCCAAGACTGGCCCTAAGTCCGCTGGCACATCACATTGCCCATGTCCGTTCCTTCCAAAGCAGACCAGCTGACCATCTGTCTTTACGGCACAGGTGTGACCTCCACCAGCGGAGACCGCCCAAACTGATTCCATATCCGGCGGCACGTCACATTGCCCGGCTTCGTTGTTTCCAAAACAGACTAACTGACCATCTGCCGTCACTGCAGAGGTACGGGCAGGGCTGCTGGAAACTTGAAGTGTTCCGACATTTAGCCAATATGTCAAGCTAGTTCGCCTGCACACCTTGCTGGACAGACTCCTGACATTCTTGATCAGTGGCAATCCAATGCTTGCATGGTGCAATGCCTGAAAGCGCTGTGAACAGCAGACTGGAACAAAGGACCGACTTGCAGCCCTACACATCCAATACGATATGGCAAATGCCAGGCCGACGCCCACGAAGCTGCCACGTTTCATGGCGGTCGGGCACAAAGATCAGCCATCACACTGCAAAACATGTTGCGAGACGTTGCAATATTGAACAGACTCTTCGAAGGCTAATGGTGGAGCACTGCCTCACACTCAACAAAAAGAAACATAAGTGTAAGATTAGATTAAGAATGACATGAAGGCGCCACTGACAATGAGATTAAACACTATAACAATACCATGTCCGATGATCATGTTGATTGGATCTGTGCAGCGGTTGAGTGCCGCGAAGAATGCTATGAGTTTGGGGCAGATGCGAGGCATGAGGAAAGGACAGGGTTGCTTCGGGGCTTGCAGGGCATATCCGTGCTGAAACGATGTAACAAATGCACGTCCATTGTATTTCATGCAACTTGGTATGGGATCCTACCTAGACCTAGAGCCAGCATCTGGATCAGCGGCAGGCGGCTGGCAGGGAGGAGTGCAGAATGCAAATCTTTCCTGTCGATGGCAGCATCTCCACCGCTGCAAAAAGCCCCAGAGTCCTTCTGCAAGATGTTGAGCAAAGGCGCGCTTCAGCTCCTCAAGCTCCTGTCGTCGCAACATACACCAGCGGTCACCAGTGCTCACGGGGCGCCTCTCTCTACTAAGGCACGAATGTCAGTTCTCTCTGCGGAGCCTGTTGGGGCCATCCGGAGCCCGAAAACATTTCTTAAACCCCCTCCACCCAGCTCCCCGTACAGTTTTTCCCCCTTTAAGAGCATGTCGATTTTGTATCTTGTACTGCATGGATGCCATGCTGCGCAGTTGAATCTTTCCAATTGAATCTTTCAAGTTGCTTTTTAATTCGATGATCTCAATATTTGATATATGTTTCTTCGTCTAGCATTATGTGATTCTACGCCATGCTGGTTACTCTTTCTTCTTCTGCTTTACTCATTTGGTAATACTGCCTGGTGACATGTGATATAGTACATTTGATACATTTTGATACAACGAAACTTAGTTATCTAGATCTGGTTTATAGCTTATACAGTAATTTGAACTTTTGTTGCTCTCTTCGAAGACTGCGGAAGAGTCCTCCCGGTACGGGGCGCCCTTGAGTCCTCGGAGCCCGACCTGGCAGAGCTCTCCAAGGCAAAAACAGCAAAGGCCACAAGAGGGAGCAGAAGCGGTTTAGGGTGTCTGTAAGGGGCTTGGGGTTGGAGTGCGGGTTTTTTGGGGCTGAGGGCCCCAAAGGGTTTTAGGGCTTACCGTTTACGTAACACGTTTCAATGCTGAGAAGGGTGCGCTCAGGACATGCAACTCCTGCCCGCACCTCTGCTTCCTGCAAGCCCACCGCGACGGCCATCAGCCTTTCGCCGAGAGGCACCGCGACCAGTGGTGCAGCCGCCTGGTACGTGCTCCCACTTTCCATAACTTTCCGGAAGCCGAACTTCCAGGTTCAAGGCAACTGCTTGCTCAGCAACCTCCCGCGAGCTCCACAACCTCAGCCTTGGAGCCCTACCTAAAGAACACAGCCTCCACCCCCGAATACTGAAGATGCACAACCTTTTGATAAATCTGCAGTTCAGGGGTAGCTTTCCGCCTCTTCTACCTGCTGTGCCATCAGCCTCACCTGGGAGGCCCAGTGAGGAATGTCCACCTCGGGTAGAGACCCGCAGCGTCGCAGAGTCCGAGAGCAAAAAGCACAAAAAGAGCGCAACCATGGCTTCCCACACCTCTGCCTTCTTACGCAGCAGCTGGTTCTCCTCCACAAGCCTCTCCGGTGTCCGCTTCGTGATGGAACGTTCCGTCAGAGGCCATAATATGCCTTTTGCTACATGCGAACTGCTACGTGCGTTGTTTCTCTTCATTCATTGCACAAAAGGCCTCGCGTGGCTGTCTCTTAGGCTCTCGAGCTCTTCGCGCATGTAAGCGACCTCTCACTGCTGAAGATAATAAAGGGATGAATCTGCGACGAATCTGCCCCCCAGCCCTCCTCCCCATTTGCTGTTTGAGTGCCCCAGATGCCTGATCTGGATCCAGGTGAAGTAAGTGTGAGGACTTGCCTTTGACTTTGGCATCCTGCGTGCTTTGCTGCGCAGGCCCGGCCCAGTTCAATCAGATGCTTGGCGCCTTCCCCTTCGCGATGAGAGGTATTCCTAGCTTTGGCCCTTGCCACGCGCAGGCAAGGCTGCAAGGTTGCCAGCCAGTCCATCAGGAGCAAAAGAGAAATTAACGCAGTACACCGCGCCTGTAAATTCAGGGCATACGGTCTGAACTGCCCCGCCCAACGCCTTTGCAAAACATGATATGAGCAATGCAGGCATGTCTCCCAAAGAATCAAAGTCACGTTGCACTGTTAAGGCACGCTCCACCCCGTGGCGGCATGGTACATTTGAGGCTGGCACGTAGATGCACGTGATGACCTGGCACAAGGTCATTGCGTTGTCGACATTTTGCCGACAGCAACTCGGTCGATGACCGAATCCAGGTTCTTCTCCTCATACCTCACAGCCAGCGGTCCGCTCTGAGTACGCAGGGCAGGATAGCTGCGAAATTTTGTCGACTTGTGGTTGCATGGATGGCAATGGGCGGCACGCTGCATTTTCTTGGTAGGAACATTTTGATTGGGCTAACTCGCGTACGCCCAAAAGTCGCGCGACTACACAGGCTGCGACAGATTTCGCAGGTCAGAGGACATCATGTTTACTATCATGTTCCTTTGGCGGGCTCAGGAGCTTCACAGCAAGGCGCACAAGTTGTTGGCACATGTGGGCAACGAACTCTGGTAGTTCTGAGCACCCGCAAGCATACCACCCATCATCTAGTATTGCTTGTCGGGTGCGAGGAGAAATGAACCCGCCGGTGATGCTAGTCAGTGATAAACCTGTCACTTTTGAGACATGTTGAGTGATGAGTTCTTTGCAGTTAGTTCACACCTTGCTCGCCGTACCGACTTTTCGCGTGAATTGTCTGACGCTTCGCGAAGTAGGCGGGAATCGGAGAAAATAAGATTTAGCAGTGCAAATGCAGCCGACTTCATAGCTGCCCTCTACAGTTTCACTGCAATTGCTCTGCGGCTCTGCATGCCTCTGCCACATCTATTGAGGCCTTGGCAAGTCCGGGGTGTCAAACATGGAACTCTCTGGAAGCCCCAGCTCTCTGGCCTCGGATCAAGTGGCTCCCATAGGTCTCATGCGGGCTCCCCATTGCATGTGTTCGGGAGATGCTTGCGTAACCTTGCATAATCTTGCAGCTCAGCAGCTGCGTTAAGGAACTTCGTGATGTTCTCCTTAGCTCGCAAGACCGAGCCCGCCAACTAAAGTGAGTCAAGTATGAATCCATGTCTCCATCTGCTTGAATGGCACAGAGTGTTGGTTGACAGTCCTGGCAGGTCTGTCTCTTGCGGATGCTGTCACATGCTGGTCAGCTTGCTGAGCTATGATGTCCTAATCAGTCCAGGCCGGATGGCATTGACCAGGTTGCAAAGGACCACTCCTGAACACAAGTCGTGAGGCAATCAAGCAAGGAAGGGCACATTCTCGGCCTGATTTCAGCCATTCGCCAACGCTCGCTTCGCCTTTCTGACCTTTAGCCATCACATAGCCTCTTGCGCAGTGCCTGACACTCGCATTCCTTTCTGGGGGCAACACCGCCAACAATAGACTCGATCCACTGGACAACGTCCTGCCTCAGCCCACTCAGGCTAGGTCTGGCTTCACGGCCGTGGCACAAGAAGCTGCGCGGCAGCCACACACAGACACGCACACACGCACACGCACACGCGCACTCACACACAGAGACACACACAGAGACACACACAGAGACGCAAGACACACACAGAGACACCAGAGACACACACAGAGACACACACAGAGAAACACACACAGAGACACGCACACACACACACACACACACACACACTGTGACACTGTTCTGGCTGTGAAGCTGGCTCATTGTTTGCACTCCGCTTGGACTTCTGGTCCCACTCGATTGCAGCTGCGAGGTCTTCATCGTCTTCTGGTTCCATGGAAGGCACTTGCCAACTCAGTCTTTGCTTGCAGTTGAAGCAAGTGTCCACATGGGGCTTTGCCAAGCAGGCTACTGCTGGCTGCTTGCGCACACTTCTACCATTTCACTGTGAGCTTGGTGCAAGTTGCGCTAGGTCGAGTGCTTGACGGCTGCTCAGACTTGGTTGGTGGGCCTTTAGTCATAGGCCTCAGGTGAATTTGCCGTGAAGTACCACTGTACTGCTTCGGTGTGCATGTGCAGTCACATGAAACGTGCTCTGCTGCAATTGGGCGAAGGCTTGGATTGATCCAGGGCCGGTAATGTGACGTCATGCACGATGGAAAACTGGAAAACTGTAGCATTCAACAGCCGCATCCACACACGAGTAGACCCCCTAAAGTGCATTGGGCAGAGGCAAGCCCGCAGAGTAAACGACCCTCCTGTGCGATCCACAAAGTGGCCATGTTGCGGACTCATTCGGTTGGCCTGAGCCCGCCCGGCCGCTGGGGGGCACGACCCCTGTGCCCCTCATGGCGACAACTCATGCTAGGAATTCATTTCACAAAAACAGGCCTCCGAAAACAATCTCGAAGAAAGACAAAACAAGCTCGCTGGTTTTTTTCGCGCAGCACCCGCCAGCCAGGCCATTGCCCATGGCCTGCTGGGGCGGTACCCTGTAGAAACCTGTAGAATCTCCCTTGGCCCCCTTTGGCCCCCTTGAGTATCAGGGCTCATCATGTCTTCTGCAGAAGCGGCAAGGGTGGCTGCGGCTGCATATCAAACAAGCAGCAAACATAGTGAATTCAGTTTGTCTAGACACAGGATGGATCGCGTGAACCATCCATTTACAGTGGCCTGGATAACGTAGCTATGTACTGCAGTGCTTCAAGCACAATCGATATCCCTCAGCCATGCTTTCATGTGAAGGTAGACCTGGAAGTCCTGTCGTAAGCAGCAATCTTGCAATCTCCAGACAGTGAAGTCTGCTTGCAGCTCCTAACCAAGTCATCAGGAATCGAAGCATCAAGACAACACTGCACAACAGTCAGCTCGTGTGGGGGCTCTGCTCACTAACTGGCTCTGATCCACTAACTTCTCAACGAATGCTCGAGATTCGTGCTTAGGGCAACATGATGCAACGTAGACTAGCTTGGGGTGCTTGTATCGCACACTTAGAGTCCCTAGCCAGAATTGCGCACATTGCGTTGGACATAGTCTCACGAGCATTTACTTGAGGCTCTCGCCCTTGAACATCTGCGCGAAGGTCATGCTCTTGCTCAGCCAACTTTCCGCATACCTTCCGAGTCTGGAGATGAGTCTTGCATCTGCCGGAGATAGACTCATGACGGAGGCCAGCCGCCTGTATAGCTGGAGGCGGTAGAAGTGTGCACCGGTATTCCTTGCAAGCGCAAGCTCTGCTTTTGTGCTTTCCAGTGCCGGGCTTGAATTGACGCTCAGTCTTCGGCCACGACTTTGCAATCAGCCAAGCCGCCTCTTCCTGACCAGAAACTTTGCAACCCAGCCAAGGCAGCATGGGTTGGACGCAGGGGAACGCTCCTCCAAGCCCAATGAGGCCTTGGAGTCACATAAGTCACACCCTTCTGACTTGCAAAAACCCTCCGTCAAACTGTGGCACCTCAACAAAGGTAGGTGCCAGATCGTCACCCGGATGCTGACTCAAGATGCTCCAGACCCCTGCCAGAAAAACACAGATACACACCCCCGCATGTTCAGAGCACATCCGATTTTTCCAAGCTGCCTTCGAAAAGACGAAAGCTGTCATTTCTAGAGGACTGCAAGACCACCATTTCGCCTGAGACAGCCCATCTGCACACACACTCGGCAACTGCAGACAGCATGCGACAACACCAGCTGGCTGGACGGTAGGCAGGCAGAACCTGCTTGAAGTCCATGGCCTCACAAGTAGTCTCTTTCCTGACTCCAACCTTTCTGCTCGCCGGAGTCGCTAAACATTTGTGAGTGCGCTGCACCACGGGTCCCAGCACGAACTCGAACATAGCTTTGCAGGCAGTGTCTGGCAAGCCTCTTCACAAGGCTTTCAAGCCGAACACTTCCAGCTAGCTGTGGCGCCCTGGCACCCGGCCGTCGGTATGAAGATGCAGCTGCGATTTTGGACATCCTCAGATGGACTCCCAGCTTCAGGCTACTGTGCTGGCTGTTTGCAATGCTTCCATCAGTTGAATGTAGAGAAGCAGGCGAGCGACGCCAAGAGGCTGTTGAAGCCAAGTGCCTCATGAGAAGATGCCTCAACGAGTCGAGGAGGTCACAATGCAGCACCAGGCTCATATTGCTGAGTGGAAAATGGTACAAGCAAAAAGCATCCGCACAGCCTGGTCAACAAACTGTTGCAGGTGTTCCTCCGTTTCCTCGGCTCGAGCAGCAGGGCAGATGTGAGACAGTGCATGACCTCGGCCCTGTAAGACATTGTAAGACACAAACTGCCAAGGTTTGGCTTAGCATCACCTGCCAGACATTTCGCCTCGAACTCCACAAGGACGAGCACGATGAAGAGCCGACGAGACTTCCGAGGTTGCTTTCTCTCTCTCACACACAGAAACCAACGATCATGTTTCCATCTGTTGCCATGCCTGGTCCACGCCCTCAGCTGACACCTTCTCTGAGTCGCGACGAAGCCTCTGACAACTCACACTGTGCGGTCTTGATGCGTTAACAAGTTGAACGATCCGTCCGCGGACTCTGCGAACACTGCGGTTCGCCTGTATGCAGCTTTGAGATTTTCACATGCTCGCTGCAGCAGCGCGCTTCGATCCGCAGTCGTCGACAGGCCCTTCGCCTGTGCAGAGCAGCACATGGGGACTTACACAGAAGGGGAGGCCCCCAATAGTAGGACCCCCTCATAACAAGGACCCCAATGGGGTACCAACACATGCACTCGGAGGATGTACGATGCCAACTCAATCTATTTTCTAAATGCCAACTGCATCGACCTGCCGACTACACTGCACTGAACTGGTACTCCATATCAGTGCTCAGTGGGTTCACCATCCACTGACATGGGGGGGGGCTTTCTACTAAATGAAAATCCATGTGGACTGGGTGCAATGCGCACACGCCGACACACACACACACACACACACACACACAGGCAGACAAGCAGACAGACAGCGACACAGACACTCAGACAGAGATAGAGACGGAGACAGAGACAGAGACTGAGACAGAGACGCAGGGACACACACACACACACACACAAGAGGCCACAATGACTGGAGGCGTTGAGCCCTTGGTGTCCCCATGCCTGCTGTATCCTGGCAGATGCATCCAGCGCCAAGCACCAGGCCCTTGCAGCCCAGATCTCCTGGAGCCTTAGAGCCCCGCTTTCACGGAGTCAAAGTGCTACTGAGTGCTACTCAACCTCTTACAACCTCTTACAACCTCTCTATCTCTCGGGCCGTGGCCTCGCAACAGCAAGGTCTCCTTTTGGTGCGGCGTCCAGTGGCTCCAGGATGCGGTGGGCGCACTCGAACCTTGTACGATACTAGCCACTACTAGCCCTGATTACTTACCATCGTCCACCACAGTAGATTGATAAGTTGGGCATGGCACATGGAGATTGCGAGCTCCCATCGACAACTGTCTCCAAGTTCTTGTCCTTTGCCTCAAATATGTGGAAAAGCTTTGACTCAGACCAAGTAGATTCTAGTGGAGGAAGATGGAAGAAGTCTGAAGCTGAAGCTGATGCGAGAGCCACTCGGCCGGGTTGCTCCAGGCCACAGACACAGCTTCTCGAAGCGCTGCAAGGCCGGGCGTAGCGGGTGCGCAGCTTCGAAGTTCAGCTCGAAGCGACACCCTGGCAGAAACAGCCGCAACGCCTTCCAACCGCTGCAGCAGCTCCTGGCATGGTACGTGGCACGTGGTAGCTCCACGGGTGGTGAGACCCCGCGATTGCAAGCTAACCCGTTCGGCTGTCCGTATCGCTCCGCTTCAACTCCACAGCCAGCATCAACAACTGCACTGAGATGATGAGACCATTCGGATCTTCCTGGGACTCCTGGCACCGCCAAACAGCCGGTGGACCATGGATGCAAACTCGAACCGCACAAACTCTGTAAACAAACATGCGGGCGCTCCTCCTTCACTGCACAGGCTACAAAGAACTCCAGACCAGCCATTGCCAGATCCTCCGCAGCTCTGGCCGAAGCTAGTGTGCAAAAGAAAAGAAGACAGAGAACAACCTTGTTCCTCGAGTAAAAAGTCTGGCAACGATCGACGGATTACTGTAGACGCGTGTGGCAGCAAGACAGCCTGTGCTGTCTTAATTCCCCCGCGGTCGAGTGCAGTGAATACAGCCCAAAGCTCTGAAACAAGTAATCCTGGCTGCGTCCACACCAGAAGTCTCACAAGTTGGGAGTTGCAGGCGCCTGTGACGGCTGCTCCAGAACGACTTTCGCCGCTTTTGCGGCTTCCTCTAGCCTTGACCAGTCTTCCCAGCGCATGTAGTAGCGCGCACGGCTCGAATGAGATGCTTGCAACATCTTGCAACAAAGCTTTAGCATGTGGCGACAGTCCCGGCTGCTTGCGGAGCATGTCCAAGTGGAGCCAGGCCTAGTGGTTTCGGCTTGCATCAACTTGCAGCATTGCGGCATCACGAAGCTTCAAGCACATCACCGGGGTCCTCAGGGCGCTCCTCCGGGAGAGAACGGTGAGAGCCCTCAGCTCCCTCACTTTCCTGGACAGGAGCACATACACCTATAGCGAGCGTAAAAGTGGTGGACAGGCAATGGTGAGTGACGGTCAGGTCTCAGGGCTTGCAATGGGCCTTGGAAAGCTTCTCAACGGCCAGCTCCAAAAGGAGCATCCGGGCACTTGGCAGTTCAACAGCCGCCACGGCCTTTGCAAAAATGTACTTAAAATGTACAGAAGTGGCCAGGAATCCTCTGTGCAGTGCAACGGCCTTCTGTGCAAACGCTGCTGCTTCATTGCTCAAACCAGCCCGGTGGCAGCAGTGCCCTGGCGATGCAGAGGAACTGTCTCAGAGCCTGTACGATCCTGTGCATGCCTCATCATGCCTCTGATGTGCTCTAGGATGCACCATACTGCAAGGATCCTTGGTGGCGCCTACGCCCAGCCAGCACCTTGCCACTTCTTCGCCTGCCTTGCAGAGCTTCAATACGCTTTCCATCGCTGCTGTGCTAACAAAAAGAAACACTTTAACTTAAAACGCGTTTTGGAGCTGTGTGTCCGAGACCGAGGCCTCAGGATGCGACGAGAGGTAGATGGCCTTACCCCGGAACCGAATGCTTGTCATTAACTGTTGTACGGGCTTCACGAATTGTCACGACACACAACTTGACAACAACGTGCTCGCGTCGAGAGCCACAGTGCCACAGGTCGGTCTTTCCGGGTCTCCTGCTGCCTCGAGGATCTCACGCGCCTGGCATAGGAGACAAGTCTTTGAGCCGCTGTGCATCAACGATCATCAGCACTATGAGCTGAAGATGGAGGTCTGCAAAACAAGAAACGCAGCTCCAATCTGGCCCGCTTGCTTTCGATGTGATGTTTCGTTGTGCTTTCTTGGTTGGAATCTTTGTTTAGCTTCGTTGTCGAACTGACCGTGTGGGGGATGTCATGCCCCCATATTCATGCTGCCACTTGCCCTGTGTCCACCTCCTACTCTGCACAGCTCGACTTCGACATAGCCAGAGCTCGACATGGGCTGCAGTGCTCTAGGTTGCACACCCAAGGTCATTCAGCGTAACTCGCCGCTGCAGGCTTTCCATGCTTCAACAGCATGCCCTCCAGGAGTCCCAGTTCATTGTAGCTTCAGTTGCTGACAAGCCACACACGTTTCGTATAAGTTTGATCATCCATGCGATGCAGCGCGGCAGAGCAATTTCTACGCCTAGCTGCGCTGCAATTGCGAAAGGCCTTCGCTTTGGGTAGCCTTGCTCCTGCCTTTGCGGAACAGACATTGCCTCGTGGGCATCAGCGGCCAGATTCTTATTCGACGGCTCATCGGATTGCTTTGGAGTTGAGACTTTATGAACCTTCTGCATCGCAGTCCACAGTGCCTTGCACATCTCATGATGCTCAGGTTCGTGTGACGCCGTTCGGAGGCTCGAAGGGCCGTGGCTTAATTCGCTTGGGGCCGCTTGCGCGCTTGCGGCATTTGGCTCGCCTTTCGCAGATTCCTCTGGAGCTATTGACAGCTTCAGAATGTTCAGGGGCACTTCTTAATGAGGCCCTTTCTCAATGGACCAAATATCGGAGCGGTACTCCGTGTCAGCTCGGCCAACTGGCTACGGCTAAGACAAGAGACTGCGAGCAAACAAGAGCTCAACACCAAACCTGCCACGACATTTGGATCGAAATTACGGCCGAGCTGCTGCATCGAGGCTGCCATTCCTCCAGAAGGTTGCCTAAGACAAGCTCGTGAGAATCTAGAGTTACACTCAGCCATCGGGTCAAACTTCAAACCTCCAGGTGTCCAGCCACCAGCCCCCAAAGCTTCCTGGCGCTGAAGAAGTGTCCCCACACGATGGAGAAGCCCGCAAACAGCCACAAAATCCGCAACGGGCCTAGCTTCCACATCAAGGGTCGTCGAGGCGGGGTCGAGGGGCCTCACAGCAAGGCCACTGGGCTGCGCCACGCCGAACAGAACCACCGCACCCCACCCCATAGCACTGCACATGGCCCCTCTTTTTTTGACTGCGCAACCACGCTTTGATGGTGGCAGCAGCTAGCAGTGTTGAAGTCCGCAGCCCTCGGAGAAGCCAGAGGCATCTGTCGTGCTTCTGCGCGATGCCCGCATTGCAGTGCCAGAAGCCTGGTGGCGTCTTCATCATATGCTCTTGGCAAACATTGAAACCATCTTATACTTGACTTAGGATTGTGATGCGACGGGCCACCAAGCCTCGATACATTGCCTCCTCAACGCTTCTAGGATTGCAGCAGTGGTTTGGATGGTGGTACACCGCTGGCTACGGTTGTCTGCAGTGGTCTCGGGGCATTTCAAAACGCATGGGCATACTTCCTTTTTTGTGGGAGGTGGGTGGTGGGAGGGAAGGTTGGAGGGGGGGGGGGTTGATCCAACATCCACAACCAACCGCCCCTACAGAGCCGGATCGCAGCAAGTTGTGTCATTCTGTTTTGAGGGCCTAGCTAGCTGCTGTAGAACACTCGGCTCTTGTCAGCTCCTGTTGATGTTTCATGGAGCACCTCTCCTGTAATGGAGTCTCATGGTCCATTTGCGCGGCTGACAGTGGTCCTTCAGGTTCGTAGACATTGCACGACCCTGTTTAAGAAGGCCGTTCTGCAATCAAGTCTGGCTCTTGCGGTTGTGTGAAGCCAGCGCTTGCGACAAGCACAGTCACAGCGCAGGTGTGAGTTGCGAGTTACATGCTGCCAAGGAGCTAGAGTTCCAAGTACAAAGTCAGAAAAGTCCAAAGAGCGTGCTCCACGAGTCTGTCAGTTTTCACAGGTCATGGCGAAAGCATGGCAGTCTTCTCTTATCTTCTCTTACCAGGTACGAGTCCGAAATCACACGTTGCCTAAGGCAAGCCCGCGGTGGAGGCTTTGCACTCGATGCCAGGGTGTGCGAGCCTTGGGGATGCGGGGAAAAGAGCGCAGGGCAGCGATGTGACATCCTCATAAAAGGCTTCCTCTAAAGAGTCCACTGTTCAAAAGAGGAGACCCAAAAATCGACAAAACCTCGGCGTTCCAAGGCACACCTTGGGAAGAGTGCTGTCCTGAGAGTCTCTGTGAACAAGCGCTGTCAAAACCGGAGAGCGCAGTCGCAACGTGCTCACCAAGCGGCCCCAGCAAAAGCTTTGCGCAGTGCGACTGGTAGCGGAAAACCACGCCGATCCTTGAGTGGGATCCTGGGAAATGGTGCGGAGTCATTGCGCCTAGACATGCCTCTGTTCCAAAGCTTGGTCTAGTCACGAAGCAATGGCTTAGAGCAATCGCTTCCCGTCGAGCCGAGTATCAGGTTCCAAATGGTGTATGTGTTGCCAGTGTAGTTCATGTCCATTAAAGGACAGTCGCCATAGCCTGATTTGCGAGGTGCGTAAGAACTGGGATTACGAAACAGGCCTAAGAGTCCGGGTCCAGGTGCATCCATCTATGAACCAAGCCACCGAACATACCAAAATCCATCTCTGGACCACCTTTCCAATAACTGCGCGTGAACTCGAAGAAGGAGTAGCCCATAAAGTAAGGATATCTCGGGGACTTGGACAACCTCGGCGGCCCAGCATGCATCGTGCAGTGGCAAACTTGATGGGTATTGGCGGCAACGGAAGGCCGTCGATCGAGACTCTGTTGCATCCATACACTGGATAGCCTCCCTTGACATGTTCTAGGTAGACATTGTCAACGGGTATAGGTACTCGTGGTGGACATTCTTAAGCCCAACCCTGGGCACGTCAGTCAATCTTATCCTCTTGCTGGCCAAGGTGGCCAAGATATATGCCCTTCTCCAAAACCCGCACTGTTCCCTACAAGACTCTTTGAAAGATGGACAGAATATTTTCATCAAAGACAAGACTTGCTCGCCACCACACTACTTTTGCAATTCCTTGACATGCAGTTCCTGTTCTCTTCCCATGGCGTGGAAAGAAGAGGAGAACACTACATCACCTGAACGAAAGATTTGTGCACTCAAGGAAAAGAGGATGCTGAGGACACAGAGCACAGCAGAGTGCAACGCCATTGGCGTGGCTAGCGAGGGACATGAATGTGAACTGGTCTATTTCATTCCCGGAACCCCCTGGAATAGAGTTGCACTACCATACACACCAGGCAGAGGACCCATGTAGAGGAGTTTAAGGGGAAGGGGTTGGCATGTGGTTTGTAAAGATAGGAGGTGGGGCAGAAGTTGACGATGAGGAGCTGCATGAAAAGGAACGAAAAGAGACTGACTTCACATTGACAGGCAAGAGAAGTTGCAGTCTTTTCGAGTCGAAAACATGAGCCTTGGCCGCGCATAAGCGCTAATTGAGCAGGGCGAGAGATGGACAGCCTCAAGCGAAGGTTGGATGATGATAGAAAGCGGCAATGGGTTCGGTACAGTGCAAGTGTCACTTCTTATGACGAAAGACCTGGATGTCGATTCTGCACAGGGTGGGAGCGCCTGGATCTCCCACCCCCCGATTGCAAATGTCTGCTTCACAAATTTGGCAAGGTGCCGCAAGAGCCGCAAGAGCAATGTGGCAGCAGCACATCTCGTGATTGGTTTCCAATAAAAGCTGCAACACGTGGTCCTTCCGTTTTTGTTATAACGCTGGCTTCCTCAGTTTCTGTCTTCCCTTGTGCTGCTTGTTGGTCTTTTCTGCTTCATTTCGCAACTGAGTCTCGCTCTTGTGCTGTTCGACATGTCCTTCTCGTCTGAGAGTTCTTTGTTTCTGTCTTGTTCTTCTGTCGTTCACTCTCTCCTTGCTGCTCACCTTGCCTGTCTTTCTCTACATCTTACAGAACCGATGTGCCGAGCATCGCCATGCCCTCTCCACTTACAGATGGGTGGCTGTTCTGAACTGAGGTCCCCGGATACAAGCCCTTCAAAGATGAAACCAAGTATCTTTAGAACCTTGGCATAGCTTGGGAATCCTCAGCTTCCCTTTGGTTCCAAGTTGTTCCGAGCTTCTCCACGGCTTCTGTCAGGTCATCCTCCATGCCACCATGGACGCTGTGATACTCGCCGATGAAGACCTCGGAGTCGGAGCCCAGAAGCTTAAGACCCGAGGAGTTCTCCCAAGCCCTAAACCCTAGGCCTAAATTCCCAAACGGAATCCTAAACGCTGAAAACGCACGGAAACCCCTAAGCCCCCTCCAAACTCCCAAAGGGGCCCGGAACCCGAAACTTCGGGGGTCCAGCTCAGCCTCCAGGGCTGAAGCAGCCGAAATTCAAGGGAAGCGAGACCAAGCCTTGCCAAGGAGCGGGGACCTTCAAGGTCGGAGTCCAAAAGCTGCTCTGCGAATATTTGTTCAGCATCAGGTTGGCCACCTGAAGTTTTTTGCAGATGTTCTCTGGGCTGCTTTCTCTCACAGTATGTGTGTTGGTGCACCTTCGAAGCCATTAAGCCACTGACCTCCCTTGCTCTGTTGGCAGTGTTGAAGCTGTGGACAAATCGCTTGCGGAAAGCCTTGGCATTCTTCCAGGCCCACGAATATGAATCCCACAATGAACCCTGTTGTACATGGTGACTGTCGCAACTAAGCTCGCCGGCCGCGACCAAGTCATTCCGGGGCGTGTAGTTGATGGGCTCCTTTTCGGTGCCCCTCTGCAAGCACTGCCAGAACCTTGGGCAAAGTGTTGTGAGACACATCGTGCAACCACCTCCGCTTTGCTTACCACCAACGTGGCGAAAAGGCGTGCCGAGGCATGCCGAGGCGCTCTTCCATTTGGCCAAGGGCGGGAGCATTTGGGTGAACCTGCCCCCCAACAACAGCACTGGCAAACATGTCGGAGGATGTGCCCAGCTGGATGTGAAGTAGGGTTCGTAATTGTTCGTATTACTCGTGTCGTATCCCCAAAAGGACATGCGTACATACACTCACCAGAATTCGTAAGGAGCCGTACACTCACCTATATGAGCAACATGAACCGTACCTCCTATTGCAGGGGCAGGCAGTGTCATCCCATTATGTGCCGTGCCAGTGAAGTCTGAACCTCCGAAGGACCCACTGCTGCTCACACTGCCGCTCACAGGATGGGTCAATTCAAGAACATTGCTTTCATGAAAGTTCCCAGCCTCCGCATCCGGGAAGAGAGCGAAAGACCATGTGATGGTCAACGCGATGGGGTTGCCAGATACGCCCACGTCCTTCTCCTCGCTGCAGCTTTCACCACACCATAAGCAAGCATAGTGCGAGGAATCCGGGGGGCCCAGGACTAGCAGATGCCAGCCGAGCTGCGGCTTCCAGGATGGCATCAAAAACCGACGCCATTGCTCTGCAGGTGAGGCTTCGCGGATGCACCTGGCGGGGGACACCGGGACGCCATGTCAGTGTGTGCCAACACACACTGCATGTCTTTGCAGAACTCTCACACCTGGACACACCTGGCCTTCAAGTCCGGCTCATTCGCCAAGATCAAGGCTTTCAGGGCAGGGTGGTAGCCTGAGGAGGGGCCGCTCCATCAGTCTGAATAGTCTGAAACAGAATCACAATGGTGTCAGAAATAACAGTACACATGACACCTGCCAAAAAGTTACCTCACCTTCGGGCACCAGCAGCACCAGCAGCAGCAACCCTTCTTCTAAGTCAAGTCAACTACCAAGTCGCGTTTGAAGGAGTCGATGGCGAAGCCTTTCAAGCATAGTCATTTTTCTACATGGATGGTCGGTTCTTGCAATCTGCCTGTCGCACTGCCACACCAGCTCTCATGTTTTGTAAAGGATGGCACCGGGAGAACAGCTGAGCACGAGTCCCATCAGTAAGTTCTTGTGGTAATAGAAATATGCTTCGTCGAAACAATACCTTTGAGGCACACAAGCACCCCTAGACTCCCAGACATGCTGAAACATCCAACAAGATACCGAAAACCCAGAAACTGAGGGCAGGTCCAGTCGTTGATCAAACAATTGTCCGGGCCCTGTGTGAAACCGAAGTCGCTCATGCCTCGGGCGAGGTCTGTTCAGCTTCGGGCAAACTCTTCTTTTAGCAACTCGTGCTCGAACACCAGACGTGGCCAGAGAGCCTGCAATCACATCAATCCCCTTCTCATAGGCAAGGTCCTGACATTATGGATACAGCCAAGGCAGCAGTCAAGAGCAGCATGTCACACACTGTCTAACATCGTCGAACATGGCCAAAGAGTAGGTGTGGTGTCTCTCTCTCACGCGGTCCAGGAAGGCGCGGTGGCTCGTGTTGGCATCGTTGCCGTACATTCGAATGGTATTTCCTCCCAACTCCTTGATCAGCTCAAGGTCGCCACGGCCCCAATCAGCCCACATAGCACCCGTGATGTCCGCCATGTAGTCATCACCATTGATGGGTGACCCGGCCTTCTTCACGGGTGCAGGTCCATACGACACACCTTGACATCCAAGGCATGGCTTCAAGGGCGCGGCATTCCGGTTTGCACTTTTCGGGTTGGGGGTGGTTGACGTAAGAAGCAGTCAAGGCGCCTTTCATCTGTTGATATGCGGGATCGAGAATCTTTGGCGTATCGAAGTGCTCGTAGTTCACAGCACATGGCTTGGGGCAGGTGACCTTGTCGACGTTGTGCACAAACGCCCTTGGAAGCACCAGCCAACGAAGCAAGATCAAACTCAAAAGCATGTAGTGATATCGGATATCGGTCATCAAGTTCAAAGAAGGCACTGGAACTCCTGGAAACTGGAAGCTCCTGGAAGCAAGCAGCAAGGATGCAGCAAGACGGCAAAGCAAGGCAGAGCAAGGCAGCGCAAGGCAGGGCAAGGCAGGGCAAGGCACTGCAAGGCAGGTGACTCTTGAAGCTTTGTGCTGCGGCGTAGCAAGTCTGATTGGTGTCCTGCATGAAGACCAGGATACTGCCCAGGATTCGCATAAATGTTGTCATGCATCCTAAGGCGTGTCGGAGCTGAGGAACACACAATTATAATGCCATACTGTAGTCCTGGCAACACACCAAATCTGCCTGGGCACGCCCAGTCCACGGCCTTCCAACACAGGTCACCCATATTCGGCCTGCCACACACATCGCCACCGGGCAGCTCACCTTCCATCACATGAAGGTACTGCATATGATCTTCCTACGAAGTCCCTACACACAGCCCAGCTTTGCCAAGAAATTCCTTGAAGGTCTGCCGAGGAGCTGTAGCCTTCCTTCGGCTTGCATTTGCCGTTTTCGGCAGTGTATCCCGCGATGCAAAGGCATTTGCCAGCAACGCATTGAGTCAAACCACGGGTAGCTGCACAACCAAAAAACTGGCACTTGCCGCCGGTGTCGTGCTCCTCGATGTGATCGGGGACAGGCGTGCACTTGTCGGCTTCCTGCAGGCCAAGGGATGCCAAGGGATCCAGGCTGCCAAAATGACAAGCGTGCTCTTTTGAGGCCCCGTATTGAACCCCGGGGGCCCGGCCTTGTTGTAGTAATAATTTTGTCGGCAGATGCATCTCCAGTGGTGGCACTCTGTCGGGCCGAGGGAAATTTGATCACAGCTCGTCCAGAAGCAGGAGCTCCCCGTCTCTCGCGCTCCTTGCAGATCACTTGCAGAGCACTTGCGAGAGCTCAAGGCAGCTGCAACCACTGATACGACTCTCAACTTTTGCTCTCGTTCACGGCCTTGCCAGGAGATATTGCTTGCATCACCGGATGCCGATTGACCTCAACCGCGGAGTGGCTGAAGATGAACGACAAAAGAGACAGAGAGCGGGAGAGAGAGAGAGAGCAAACAAAAACAAAGACGGAGTTTCTCCACTTATCTGCGCACATCCACTCAGCACCCTCTCGCCAGTTAGGTTGGCTGCTCTGAAGCAGCTCAAGTTCCTCTTGGTACCTGAAAGGCGCAATCAGAGACCATCTGCCAGCAAACTATCCAAAACGCTAACCTGCGCATCTATCCCAGTCGAGAAGCTCCTTCCTCAAGCCCGCTCTTTGCAGTGCACTCCTCAGCTTTGGGCTTACGAGGGAGAAGCTTCTGCCACGCGATAGGACCGTGAAAGGATGCCCAAATTGTTCGGGCAAGGCGAATCCCCGTTGATGCCCTTGGACCACGAAGCTTTCAAAGGTGACCATTCGAAACGACTCCTCCAAGTAAACGCCGCCCGTATCAGGGTTCCCGTGCTGGAAAAAGTGCACGAAGGGGATGTACTCCTTCTTGAACGCCGGCCCCAACAGCATGTTACCACAGCAAAGAGCGACGTGTGTGGAACGCCTTCTCCCAAGCAAAGCAACAACATGTAATAGGGTTTAGGGGCCACAAATTCATGTGTCACCTTAGCCTCAGCTTCTTAAGGCTCGCAAATTCCTTGCAATCTTGGCAAGACAGAGTCTTTGTCGAGTGAACCAGAAATGTCGACTCGAAACAACACCCTCGCACAGCAACTGACGGAACTTTACTGGCTCACTTGCAATGTCCCAACGAGTGATGCACAAGGCCGCGTAAACGCAAAACGGAACGCCTTCACGGAGAACTTACCCCGCCCAGTGCGTGGAATGCTCCTGCATGGAAAGGGACCCGCTCCTCTACAGTAGCAAGCGTGCTCGTACCTGCATTCATATCCCAGACTCATATATATTATCTGAGGGTACCTGACTTAGGTGATGGTATGCGATGACGCAGAACTGGCTACAACTAATTAGTCAAATGATTCGGTTCCAAATGTTCCATCAGAAGCGAATCATGCTTACCACGCGTGCAGGATCTTGCAGGCCAGTGTCAGAGCACAGGTTTCAGACCCGTCGAGGCACTCGTCATCCTCCGAGATTGGTAATCCGTCATCAGGCGAGGGCCTTAACATGCTGGTGAGATGCACGGTGAGATGATCTGATGCCGACTCCAAGTAGAACACCGGATTTGACGCTTCTTGAGCAAGAAATGGAGGGCTTGAGAGGTGGGAAAGAGACAAGGAAGAGAACATACAGGAAATTCCCCTCTTCTGCCACGGGGCTTTAGTGGCTCTGGAGATTCGGTGCCACGCACACCACAGAGTTGCGCAGCACCCAACAAGATTGCAAGCCGCATCACCATCATCTCCAACAACCTGCGACAATCTGCTGCATCAGGTGCATCGTGGTGCACCCCTGCTTGTGTCATGACATCATGATCAGCCTCTGAATCCAGGTTCAGCTGCGATGGCGCGGCTCAAGATGTTTCCCTGCTGAACTTTGTACTGTACTGTCCACTGCGCCTGTTCTGAAGTGGCTCCTGGGTATGTGTGCATCTCAAGCCCGAATCCTGAGCCGAAGCTGCGAAGTGAGCCGCATGTCGTCTCACTCGGCCCGTGATTCTGCTCCTTGTACTTGCTCAGCGCACCATCGCAAATAAGGGCCCGCAGAACATCCGGACAGCCAGGGTATTCACTCTGAGCACAGTGCTCAGCCAGAAGTTTCATAGCAGTGTCACAGACCTTCCAGAACTTCATGAGCATCAGATGTGAAAGATATTGAGTGGACTGAGTGGACTGCCTCGTCGCTCGATGCATCCGACCTTGCGCCTCAAGGACACTCTGCGAGTCTCAGGCTGACCTGTCTTGCTCTCGTGGGGTCTCTCTCGCACTCGCACGCGTTTCTCTGTACCAGCTGGGCAAGCCTTTGGCCCTGTGCAGATCTCAGCCGTGACTTTGCACAGGCTTCGCGCAGCGCTGGCAGCAGCATCTGCAGTATCATCTGTATGCGGGTAGCATCTGTCACGGGCAATCATGATCTGTAGCTATTGATGTGCGAATTTGCAAGCACGAGTAGCATCTCCAACACTCTCCAACTGCTCAATGGAGTGAAATGCAGAGGCGCTTGGCACTGGAAACCAACGGAGGCAGAGAGATGGCTAGCGGCTCGATGAGGTTGCGGCTAGCCCAGTTTCAGGCTGGCTGCAGATGCTGTGGGCGAGCCACTCGAGGCGGAAGCTCTATAGATATCTGTGTGGCCTTCCGAGGCTTGAGGTTGATATGATACTGCATTTCTATGCCACAGATGAGATCTTTACACATACCCTGCTCCGCGAATGTCATTGTGTCATCCAGCTTTTGGTCACACACCCAGCCTTCGCGAAAGAATGGCCAAGGCTCGGGAGCTCGCCTTCTGTGACAGAGCGCCCGCCAGCAGATCCGTCCGAAGGACCGCACTGGGACCTCAGAGCGAAGACCATCTGAGAATGTGCCTAACAGGCCTGCACAGCTCGGCTGTGCCAACGTAAAGCGAGCAATCACGTCACCGACTTCCTGCAATTCGGGTGGGCAGCTGCCATGCCCCTCTAGGCTCGTGACAAACCACCGAGCTTGCGATAGGAACATGGCCAAGATTGCCTTGATTAACGGAGTAAGGATGCAGGGGCAGGGGTGAACGATGCAAAGGCTGACAAGGCCGGAGTATCAGTGCAGGTAAGACTCAGCAATGAGAAGAACCTTGCTTCCAAGGATGAGGTATCTTCAGGGATGCCGAGGCTGCTTGAACAAGCAACTGGCATCATGCACTCGCACGCAACAGCTCCTGTGAAGTGTGGGCAGGGAGTATGGCCGTGCGAAGGGCACGAGACCCCACACACACACACACACACACACACACACACACTGGGACGACCCTCGAGAGGTTAGTAGGTGTTCACACATGCCAATCATGTTCCCCATGTCGCGGTGGAGCCCTATGTGAGGGTTCAGAATCACTGCGAGGGAAGTCCAGTTTCCGTCTGGGAAGCGATCTTGCAAGAAATGATTGAATGCGACACATGCTTCTTTCATGGCGGATGCTTTCGACATGCAAGGGGCGTTGCCACCAAAAGCATACAGTCCTAGGGTGCAGTCAATGTCAATGCTGCGGAGCTGTATTTCTGCGAGCTCGGCAAATTGCAATCAGCGAGTGAAACTGCAGGTACGTCTGGCTGATCAGGCCAGATTTCAGCACGAACACTTGACTCTCTTCGTTGGGTCACCAGTCAAGGTCGTGGGTGACCCCCCTGCTTTTGCACCAGAGACTCCTGATGAAGTTGCCTCTTCAGAACTCTTTGTCAACAGAGCGTACACACACAGGTGCCCCTATGATGGGGTAGCATGAATCATGTCGGGCTTCATGTCAGGAATCTGCTGGCAATTCTCCGAATTTGCGAAATCGGATATCCCCGAGAGGAATACAGATTGACAACCTCTTGAACGTCTGCCTGTCTCTGAGATTCAGGAAAGCTGAATCTGGCAGCCATGCAAATGCGACTGTTGGCTGCAGCAAATTTGTGTTCATCACACCCAGCTGAATTCAGCGGTCTGAAGAAATGCAACGCAGAGGGCAACAAAAGCTTGACAACGCGGCTGGCTTCACACAGTGTCGTACCAAGAAACTCACCATCCGGAACAGTCTCCAACTCAACAGGTGTATTGTAAAAGTCCAACTGCAACAACTGTCGTAGCCATGTGTGTTCATGAAGATGTTCGGGATACAGCACGAGTCGGTTGTCCACATAACGATTGATGTAAATCTGGCTCAAGAACCCAGCGATTTTGGCTCGATTTGTGTCTATCCAGGTTTGCTCGGTGTGTGCAACAGCAACGCTTGCAAGCACTGGGCTGATCTGGTTACCGATGGCCGATCCTCGGACTTGTTGAAAAACCTGACCCATTTGAGTGAACACCGAGGTTTCTAGTGACATGCGACACAACGCAGCAAGGTCAGTAACGTCAATCGTGTACGCTCTTCCTGAAAGTGCTTTTTTCTTCCCTCGGAAAACTCGGAGCTTGACGTCCTTTTCTCTGGGAAAAATAGTGAATACATGAGACTGCTTGTTGGGGTACATCTCCTTGTACTTTGCCACCATGGTTTGAACGGAAGCAAGAATACGCTCTGCGGGAATGGAAGTGAAAAAGCCGATGAGATCCTGATTGGATTGCAGTATGAACTCTTCGACTGGTGTGGTACGAAGGAAGGAATGCAACTCTTGGAACATCTCTGGCATCGTCTTCAGACCGAAGGAATCAGGAAAAACCTCGTTCTGCATCGTCAATAACACGAAGGAAGTGCATCTGAAGAGCTTCGCAAAGTGGAACGCCCGATATGAGATGATAGGGCGGGCTTTAAGAAAGTTCTTCTTGGCTTTCAGCAGGATGTAACTGTTGGGAACAGATGCTGCAGAGTCAACGCCCCATCTGTACTTTTTGGCCAATTTGCTGTGACAAAAAGTGCGAAGATGTTCGGCAGCTGCTGTGGGCGTCATGTTGAGGTGGTTATACACCTGTTTGTCCGCAAAAGTCTGCGTCAACACATGATGATATAGCCAAGGACAAAAAACATGAACATGTTGAGCTGCATGATCTCGTCCGTGTACCACTAGCTGTTGTAGCTCCGAACGAAGGAAATGTATGTCCTGCATCGATAGAGGTACTCGTGCTTCTGGATAATGAAGAACCCATTGCTGCTCCAAAAAGGCTTTCCAATCCTGGGAACTTACTCCGCCTAGTTTGTTGTGCTTCAACCATTTGCTGATGGCATTCCAGGTCATGCGGACGTAGTCTTCGAAATCTGGATAAACCTGAGTTTTGGCATTGACCGACAACCAGAACTTGATACGGCGACTGAACTGCATCTTCGAGGCTTCAGACGCAATGTGCTCACGACCGTCAATCGTTACGACAGCAAGTTCAGGGTGTTTGCGCCGTAAGTCTGAACACGAGCATATTGGAGGTGATTCCCAAACAAACTTACGCATCCACTGGAAATGACTGTACAACGTGGTCGAAACGGAAGGAAACTTTCCTGCAACGATACTGCAGCAGGGCAGGTGAAACGGAATGAGCTGATCCTTTCTGGACATGACTATCTTCCGTAGCCATCTCTTAGCTTGCACTTTAAAATGTTTGTGCGCAAGCAGTGGTATCACCAACGGTTTGGCTGCTGTCGGAATCGGCCCGTTTCGGAAGCTGATCGCATTCTTTATCAGCTTTCTCACTTTGGACCTGGGAGGGTCTTCTAATGAATTAGCCAGGCGAAGCAATGCATACAACTGATCGATTGAAAATTTGCACGTTCGCAGTTCTTTGGACTGCTTGAAGGATGTAGAATCGGATTTAGCAAGTCGAAACAGAATGCACCAATTC